GCACTGAGTCTGACACTCTTTACATAGCAGCTTGTTTAATTCTAATCTCAAATCTATGCAGTGGGTAATCTCTCTCTTTTATAGATGTGAAACCCAGAAGAGAGGTAAGAATTTGCAGCACGTTGTTAAACTAGGAAATGGCAGGGTAAGAATTCACACTTTTACTGTCAACATCTGAGAGTTTTGACAGAACAGGTATTTGGTAAATGTTTATTAAACAAATGTCAGAGTAGGAAAAACACCCTTCATAATTCACGATGAGCTCAGTGAAGTGCTTCAGTTGGAGCACACGTGTGTGCACACATATTTAAGAAAGGCACCTAGCTGGCTCGTTAGCTTTAACATATGCCTTTAAAAAGAAACAAATGGCTTTAGCTCAACACTGGAGCTTCAAAGTTGAACATGTGTCTTACTCTATGTTTCTTGAGCCTAAAACAGAAACTGGTTCAAACTCAATAAATGACTAAATTAATTAATTATATGTTAGGGAAATATCATGTTAAAAAACCCAGCTCTAATAAGAGAAAAATTAACCAGCTTTGGAATCTACATAGAAAAATAGCACAAATAAAATCCACAATAAAACGCCTTAAGTAAGAGCTTTAACCTCCTCCTTGCTCAGTGAAGAAAAACTAGTGGCCAGTGTGCAGGAAAGAGTCAAGCTAGCAAGCCAACTCCGCTTAGCACGGCCAGCTCACACAGCTGGCGCTGACTGCCACCTGGCAATTGAGATTGCGGGAGGGTTCCCACCACCACTAGTTAAGAGGGGCTCCCTGTGCCTACACTGTGCAAACAACAAGGTTTATGTCAATCACTGGCTTGCCTTCTGGGGGTCCGGAAATTGGCTGTGTGCCAGGGAGGGAATGCCTACATGACTAGCCCCCAATAAAACTCCAGAGTGCTGGGTCCCTAATGAGCGCTCCAGGCTGGCACCATCTCACACGTGGCCAGAGCTCGGTGCTGGGGGAGTTAAGTGGATGCTGTGACCCCCACTGGGTGGGGACTTGGGAGCCTGCACCTGGTCCTCTGTGCTTCTCCCCACGCGCCTTGGCTATTCCTGCTGTGTCCTCTCCTGTAATAAATCAAAGCCAGGAGTCTTCCTCCTGAACCATCACACCTTGGGGCCCCAACCCACCTAGCAAAACAAGCCAATGTTCACTCTTGCCAATTTTTCCTTCTTCGAACACAGAAATGGCTACGGTATGGTTTTATACAGTAACGTGCCTATTAGTACCCATAACTGTACTAAACTTGTGTGTCTAAGATAACTGTCTACAAACTGGCCTGGCAATCAAGCACACACGTTACCTTCTATCTCTCTCCATGCGGTTGTGCCTCTCCCTGCGCTGGGACCGTCCTCCCTGGGGCCCACTCTGGCTCTGCTCTCCGAGGCTGGACTGCGCGGACTCCGCCGATTGCCAGGTGCCCTGTGCGGCTGTGGAGCCTTCGCCCACGTTCTGGATCTCTCCAAGGGCTCTTCGTTCCACATTCGTGTCCAGCTGACGGACTCTACTCCGATTCCTCTTATTTATTGCTTGTTTACATAGCGCTTCTTCTTTGCAAAAGAAGAAAAAAGTGGTATTTTAATTTTTTATTCTTCTTAACTTGCCCCCATTAATGCTGAGTATATTTTTTGGCATTTTCAATCCAAGAGAGAAACATCAGTGGGTACAGAGGCCTGAACCCGAGGAGCTGCACGACGGCAGCAGCTCAGCGTGAGCAGGTAGCACAAAGCTCCGAGCTCCAAACCACGGGCCCGAAAGTGACCCTGTAACTAAATTAAAACACTCCCAGTCTCACGTGAGCCACAGAACCCAGAAGTCCCCTCTTTAACCACCAGGTGTTAAAGGTCATGTATGAGCAGAGGACCTAAGAAGTTGTTTGATTTTTTCGGATATTCAGAATGGAAAAAAGAAAGCCGGAAACATCTCCTCTAAAAGATTTTCTTTACATACAATTATACTAATATGACAACTGACATTCCAACTGCAATGCTCAGAAGATGACAAAACCAAAGTTGTAAAACCAAAGTTGTTTAGGAGTAAATATGCCCTCACCTTGCAAGTGATTCTCCCCACAAAAGCAGCAATCCCAGCACAGCTTTTATTTATGCTACAGAAATATGTCAGATTTCCATCAAACAAAGAACTGCAGGCATCTAATTAGTGCGTGTGGCGATGAGCATTCCCGAGAGGCCATGAAAGCAAAACCCCATGAATGCAAAACCCCCTACGGCGAGAGAATCAGGCCAAACCCCCTACAGTGAGAATCGCTTAACAGAACTGTAGTAACTTTTCAAGGGAGACCCAGAGGGGAACTCACAAATATTGGTACTTTTATCCCCAAAGCTTAGTAGTCAGGACAAGGATTATTTTAGTGTTAACCTTTATACCTTACAAATGTCAACATACACTTTTGCGTAAAATGTCATAACAAGAAAAAATTAATTACTGACATGGAGGAAGCAGGAGCACTCCAGCCCTATCCTATCTTCATCAGCTCTTGAAAAGCTGAGTGTAAGCTGTGCTATTTTGTTGGATGACTTGAAAAATAATTTTTTTCCAGTGAGAAAGGGACTGAGAGTTGATCTTGGAGGTTTGCAAAGCTTGCCTCCAGCAGTTTCTTTATTTCTGAAACTCTGAATCGCCTTGATGGCCTCTTGCTCTAATTCAATGCTTGCCCATCTGAAGACCATCTCCTAAAGCTCTTAGCAGATTTCAGACTCCTCCCTTCCCTCAGGAAGTATAAAACAAGGGAAAAAACCCCACAAAACTATTAAGCTCTTTAGTAACTTCATAACTGAAAATTTATGTAAGTCTATTATTTTTCTGTTTATGGAGTTTACTATTAAGAAAAAGCAGCTCAAACTCAATTCCATACTAAGTATAAAACCGACGTTCAAAATTCAGAAGAATGTTCACAGTGAGATGACTGGGGGAAGAGGGGTGGAAGGTTCCCTCGGATATAAACACACTTCCAAGATCACTTCATCTGTTCATAAACCACCTCTCGCCCCCACCCCCCTAAGGCCACCACGCTGTCGAGGGCACAGCCCAGGCAGGAGGAGGGTACCTGCTACCTTCTGCGTTGTTGCTTACCTCCCACTTTAATCCAAACCTGCTCAGGCAAAGCTTTGTTTCTACTACCTAAAGTCTGTTTAGTGGATTCAATTTCTTGCTGATAACAGAAAGAAAATGCTCTAGGCAATCCAATATCCTGATGCTTGGCAGTTTCAAGTATAGAACATGAGTTACCAGAACTCTGGAAAAAATGAAGCAACAGGAATTTCATCAATATGCGACTTAATCTCCTTTTTACTGCACAAATAAAATGTACTTTAACAGAAGCAACGGTAAAGCTATTAACATGCAATTTGAAGAAGTTTAGGTGCACCGAGAATTTTAAAATGTTCCCAAACCACATAAATGCTCTGGATTTGAAAAGGTTATTCAGCTCAACGAAAGGAAAATAAAATCCTTGGGACCTAACTAAAATAAACTCACTTAACACAAAAGAGCAAAGCTTCACACATCATCATCCCTACCTGTGCTTGCGAGAGATTAGCGCTTGCACCGGTAGAGCAGGTGTTTGTGGGAAAGAGCGGGTACGTAAACTGCAAAGCGGCCGTCGCAGCAGCAGTTTTATTTTTCACTAACGTTGTACATTTGTTCTGTTGCTGATGAAGAGGAACATTCATTAATTCGGATGGATGTCGAATAAGAGTTACCAAACTGCCAAGACAAAAGAAAACCCAGAAACCTGAAGAAGTCGCGGCAGGTAAGTTTCCTGAGACCCTGCACTCACTGTCACTCTAACGGGTTGCATCAGACTTTCTAGAGAGGAGCTCAAATCTGTCAGGAGGACGGCCCCTCGTCATGGAGATCTCTGGAACAGTCATCACCAGCGCTGTCGTGGGCCTTCAAACCCCCTCCTCCTCACAGAGGAAGATGGGACTGTGCATCACCTTTTACTTACACCCCCCTTCCCATCAGACCCTTGACACCAATCTCTCTTTTGGGGGCCATCCTCCAAAATCTGATGACTATGGGCAAAATGGGGAAAACTACAGGGTGGGGATGGATAGAAAGCTGAGAAGTCACCCGAACAGACGCGACACTCCTCTTCCATAGTTGTCCCTGGAAGATCACCATGGGCTGGCAATCGGGCTGCAGGGTGAAGCTGCATTTTATATTCTAAGCCTCACAATACGAGCTTCCTACACCCAGGCCCTGGGGGGCCTGCTCCCTGTTGAGACGTCAGCTAGAGGGAGACCGGTGGCCTTGGCATAGGACCGCCTTGTCTACACCCAGACTGAAGCTGGAGGCGTTTGTATAGGACTGCCTTGTCTACACCCAGACCCAGCAGGTCCTAGGTCCTGCTCCCAGTTGACATCCAGCTCAAGCAGGCTGGTGCCCTCCGCACAGGATCGCCTTGTCTACACGCAGACTCAGCAGGTGCTGCTCCCTGCTGAGATGCCAGGCTGGTGGCCTCCGCACCGACCTCCTCCCTCCGCAGCCGCGCCCTCCCCGTCCCCGTCCCGCGGGCCCGGGGCGTGGGCACCCACTTGTTGAGCGCCACGCCCGGCTCGGGGGACTCAGCGCCGCGCGGGGCGGGCGGGGGCTCGGCGGGGATGCTGTTGAAGCGGTCTTCCAGGCGGACGCGCACGGCCGACTTGGCCCGCGCCTCGGGCGCGCCCTCCCCGGCAGCCGCCTTCTCCTTGCCCGCGCCGTCGGGCGCCTTGGGCCGGGGGGCGCCCGGGGGGCCGTCGGCGCCCGGCGTCTTCTCGGCGGCGGCGGCGGCGGCGGGGCGCGCCCGCCTCGCTCAGCAGCATCATGCGCAGCTCCTGGAAGTCGATGTGGCCCAGGCACGGGTTGGCGCCCGCGAAGCCGCCGTCGGCCAGCGCGGGCGGGCACAGCACCGGGTACACGGGCGGCGCGCCGCCCCCCCCGCCGCCGCCGCCGCCGCGCCCCCCGCCGCCGCGAAGCCCCCCGCCGCCGCGCCCGGCGCCGCCGCCGCCGCCAGGAAGGCCGAGTTGAGGCGCGTCTCGAGCTCGCCGTCGGCCGCCGCCGCCTCCATGTGCGAGTAGAGGATGTGCTGCAGCTGCGTGTACTCGATCTCCGTCATCTCCACCAGGCTCAGGTCGGTGGTCGTGAAGCTCAGCCCCGCCTCGCCCAGCGCCGCGTCCGCGCCTCGGGGCCGCCGGCCCGCCGCCTGCGGCGGCTCCCGCGGCCCGGGGCCCGACATGCCGGCGCCAACGGCGGGGCGCGCGGGCGGCCGGCGGGGACCGGCCGGAGAGCCGGGCGGGCCGAAACCGCCGGGACGCAGCGCGCCTGCGCCGCCCCGCCCCCAACGGCACCCCCGCCCCTGCGCGGCCCCGCCCCCGCCAACCGCCCGCCCCCCGCCCCCGGACCTGCCCCCGCCCCCGGCCCCGGCCCCGGCCCCGGCCGCCCCCGCGGGGGCTGCGCGCGCAGGTCGGGGGCCGGGGTACCGGGCGCAGGGCGGCGCGCGGGGGCCGGACCGCCCGGGGCCGAGTGTCCGCGGGGTCAGATCCCGCCCCAGATGGCGGGTCGCACGCGAGAGGCGCCCGTCCACGTGGTGGAGGTAACGCTCCCCCACGAGGGGTGCTGTGGGCCCCCAGCAGCGTGCGGGGACGCTCCGTCTGGTGCGCCCTGCAGTGGACGGCTGAAACTGCCCCGAAGGCCGGTGTGCCGAGGCAGCCTGCAGGCTAGGGGAAAAGTCAGATGAATGCATCTCGTGTTTTAGAGTTTATCCTAGAAGAGCGCAGGGCGCGTATAATTAATGCGCTTAGCAAATGCTGGCCAAGGATTAAGAGATTCTTTTAAACAGCTTTATTGAGATATAATGCACATGCCATACATTCATCCATTTTAAGTGTGCGATTCGGTGGTTGTGAGTGTATTCGTGGTGCTGCCGATCCATCACCACGGGTCAATCTTAGAATATTTTCATCACCCCAAAAGAAAATCCCCATACCCCATCCCCGACGCAGGCAACCACTAATCTCCTTTCTGTCTCTGGGTTTGCCTATTCCAGGCATTTCACATAAATGGTATCACAGGACATGTGGTCTTTAAGAGAATTATTTTTGCAGGCTCAAGATAATTGCTGTGCCCACCTCTCATCTCTACCTCATCTCAACCAGAGGTTGGTTGTTTTCGTGTAGGAAGTGGGACGTTTGAAGGGCTGTGACTTAGGCACATTTTTTTTCCCAACGGCTCTGAATCTTTGGCTTATTCTATCACAGCTCAGACAACATTTATCTTTGGAGTGCTATTCATTTCTTTTGTATTATCTTTTTTTTGAACAAATGTAAGATCATACTATGTATGTGATTTTATAATTTGCTTTTCTTTTTCCCCACTTAATATGTCCCCAATAGGGACTTAATGGATACTCAATAAAAGATATCAGGACAGTTTATTAATTATTTAGGAAAAAATTAAGTTAGAGCACTTTTTTTCACACCTAACATAAAAATTAGTTCCAGATAATTGAAATACCTACATTTAAAAAGCAAAATTCTGGGGCCGGCCCGGTGGTGCAGCGGTTAAGTTCGCACCTTCCGCTTCTCAGTGGCCCAGGGTTCTCTGGTTCAGATCCCAGGTGCGGACATGGCACCGCTTGGCAAGCCATGCTGTGGTAGGCATCCCACAGATAAAGTAGAGGAAGATGGGCACGGATGTTAGCTCGGGGCCAGTCTTCCTCAGCAAAAAAAGGAGGATTGGCAGCAGTTAGCTCAGGGCTAATCTTCCTAAAAAATAAGCAAAATTGTATAGAATGATATGGGTAAATTATTTGACTGAGAGGAGTCTAAGCATGGCACCAACACAGACCATTTGTGCACAGAATCACCCTAGGGATCTTGTTAAAACACAGATTCAAGTTTAGCAGGCCTAGGGTGGGACCAGGAACTCTGCCTTTCAAAGGAGCCCCCCACTGATGTGTGTGCTGCTGGCCCGTGGACCCTACTTTGAATAGCAAAAGCACAGAGTACAAGGAAATTTACAACGTTTAAAAAGAAAAAATAAAATCAAGATTATATCCAATTTGGCTTCTCATTTATCAGAAGTGAAGACCATTAGCACTGACATTGTTTCTTGTTTTGGGTAGAGTTCTGGTGGATAGCAGTTTTTGAGCCTTCTTTTATTTAAACATGAAACATGATCATGACCTGGCTTTGCTGGGGCTTGCATTATAAATAAATAAAATACGAGGAGAACCGAACATGCTTTTCCAAACTCTCAACGTGGCTCCCAGAGGTTCTGGTCTGCCCCTCGGGAGGCAGCCCTCCTTAGTTGAGAATGCTGACGAGGAGTCAGGTGGAGCTCTAGTGAGCAGTTTGCGAGAGAGAAAGGCTTCTGCCATGGCTCCCTTGAGCAAATAGCAGGCCCTGCTCCAAACATGCAGAAGAAAAAGAAAAAGCGGTAGATAGCAACCACAGACCCATGCCAAATTCGACAGGCACCACGAAGGAAGGATGGGCTTTCAAGGACAGAAGGGGCAGCACTGTGGACAGGGACAGGGACAGGGTCGTTATCTAGGGGAAGACCCAGAGCGGGTGGCACAGTTGGTTTAGTGGCTCTGGACCACAAAGCACACCATCGTGTGAATCATGTGGAACGAGGATGAGGGTTGAGGAAACTCGTACAGAGCTGTGCATTCTGTGAAGCCCCAAGACTTGAGGTCAAAATTAGATATCACAGGAAAATAAAGCTACAGAACAATATGACATGAACAGATATGCAAAAGTTTTTAACAAAATCTAGTACATTGAATCCGACAAGACTTTAAAAAAAGAATTATACATTGTGACCAACTGGAGTTCATTCCAGTGAATCGTTTTGTTCACATTTGAAAATCAACCAATGTAAATTACTATATTAACAGATGAAAAAGAGGAATCCTACAATTACCTCAAAAATGCAAAGATAAAAAAGTGTTGGACAAATCCAACATCCATTCCTGGTAAAAACTCTGCAAAGCAGGACTGGAAGGGAACTTCCCCAACCTGATAAAGGGCATCTATGAAATAATGACGGCCAACATCACATGTGATGGTAAAAGACTGAATGTTTTCTCCCAGATTAGGAAAAAAGCGAAGATATCCACCATCACCACTTGTCTTCCACATTGTACTGCAGGTTCTACTCAGTGTAACAAAGCAAGAAAAAGAAAAGGCTTTCAGATCGGAAAAAAGGAAGTAGAACTCTCTTGCAGACAGCATAATGATTTATGTAGGAAATTCTATGGAATCTATAAAAAATAATAAGTGAATTCAGCAAGGTCACAGAATATAAGAACAGCATACAAATGTCAATTGTATTCCTATGTACGAGCAATGAGCGCATGTACATTAAAATTAAAATATAGGCCGGCCCCGTGGCCAAGTGGTTGGGTTCACGTGCTCCACTTCGGCAGCCCAGGGTTTCCCGGGTTCGGATCCTGGGCGTGGACATGGCACCGCTCATCAGGCCATGCTGAGGTGGCGTCCCACATGCCAAAACTAGAAGGACCTACAACTAAAATATATAACTATGTACTGGGGTTATTGGGGGATAAAAAGCAGAAAAAAATTTAAACATAATACCATTTACAACCACTCAAAAAATATGCTTAGGCATAGATTTAACAAAACGTGTATAGGACATATATGTGGGATATCATACAAGTACTTTCACTGCCCTAAGAATCCTCTGTGCTCTGCCTGTTCAGTCGCCCCTCCCTCCACCCCCAGATGCAACTGATTTTTCATGCTCTCCAAGTTTTGCCCTTTCCAGCATGTCACACAGTTGGAATCACACAGTATGTAGCCTTTCAATGGCTTCTTTCACTTAGTAACATGCATTGAAGTTTCCTCTGTGTCTTCATAGGTTGACAGCTCATTTCTTTGTTGTTGTTGTTAGTGTAGAAACAGCACATTAAAAATTGACCACCTTAAACTGGTTTTGCTTCCTTAAAACAGGTAAGTGAGTAATCAAACCATGCTCAATGACAGAGGGGGGACTGCCCATGTGCCAGGCGGGAACCCATAGTCCCAGGATGACCCTCACCTTCAATGAGGAAAATCTGGCTTCCAGCAGCCCAAGCAGCTTGATCACCATAGATGGGCTGATTTGAGGTTAGCCTGTCAGCTCACACGGGCTCAGCTGCAGCTTAGTAGCCCCTATTTCCTTACATTTTACCCTAAACCTTGGATAAAGGAGATAGGTTTGCTTCTGTCTCCTTACCAGTCAACCTCACAAAAAAACTCTTTTCTCAAAAGCCAATGCCATAGTATTGGCTCTCTGTATGTTGGGTAACAAGCCCTTACTTGGTAACAATTTCTGGTGACCATTAAGGGACCAACGTCTTGTGACCGCCTGCCTGAGGCACTGTGGCCCCCAGTGGGATGAGGGCCCTCACCACTGACCCTAAGTGGCCACCTAGATTGAATTTGCCTAGAGGCTCATGGCTAGGTTCCTGCTCCCCTGCTGTGGCACTCCAGGCTCCTTGGGGCTTCTTTCACTTTTACAAAATGAAACTGCTTCTGGATCAAGATGTCTCTGGGCGCTGGGTTAGTAACCTTATAAAGCGACTGTCCTCACATCGTCTCTCTTGTCTGGACCCCTGGAATATAAGTTTGCCTTGTATTCTAGGGAATCCTGGTGGGCTGAGTCTGGGATGCTGGGCCTGGACCACCAGAGCTAATTAGAGACAGGATAAGATGTTCACTCGCAGGTTACTCCTGGTCATCTGGGCCTGAGCACTCCTGGTGGTCTGGTTCTAAGCACTCCTGTAGTCTAGCTAGCATTCTGATTTCTGTTATATGTGGAATTGTATTGTGTGTAAATGGTATATTTTCTTTGGAAATGTGGCCTGGCCCCAGTACGCTCTAGGGACAGATGAGGTGTGGCCTGAGAAGGGGTCTTTGAACTCGAATACCATCTTGCACTTAGGTCTGCTGTGTAAAAGGGAAAGATGGCTATGGGAGCGCCCTAGCCCGAAGCTGGCACATTAATAAAATTAACAGGAGTTGCAAGGTGTCCGTCTGTATTTGTCTGTGCTCATGTATGTCTATATGTATGTCTTGTACATGTGGGATTTTTCTACCCCTGGATGGTATAATTTCTCAAAGATCTCTATTACTTGGCTTAAAGTAAATGTCATAATAACTAACTGAAATGTCTTTCAAGTTAATGTGAAATAAAACAATCTTTGGTCAGCGAAAACTTGTTTAAGTTTGTTGGTTTGATTAAAGTAAATGTTTCCAGAGTTATCGGCATTGGGAATGATACAGACATGTTATCTCCATTACAAAATTTCTCAGCAAAGAAAATAACTTAAAATAATAGCCGATTTTGCCTAATGTCTCAGGAAGTTTTGTAGGCAATCTAAACAATTATTGAGAACAAGTAAACTAAATAGATGTGAAAAAGATGCAAGTTCTGGGTGAACTTTTTAACAATAAATATGTACTTAAGTTCAAAACCTTTTGGTAACTTGAAACCTTATACTAAATTAAATGCTCTAGCTCATTGCCACATAGGGTGAAATATTAGATATTGATTACTAAAATAGATTTATCTACATCTGACTTCTTATTACAGAGAAAGTAAATGGCATGTTTGGATCTATTAGGAAACACGTCTTGTATTTTATTAAAAGATTGTATATGAAGTAGCATATTTCTAGAAATTCTAAAAAGTATTTTTAAATTTGGCTAATGTTAAAGTCAGTTCATAATTGCTTACTTCTTAGTTTTCACTAAAATTTAAGGTTTCTAAGGATTAAGAATTCTAATAACATATGTGATTAAAGCTATTACAAATTAATAAGGAAAATATCTTTGTATTCAGGGAGAGTAAGATGTAGATTTTCAGTAAAGAAGGTATAAAGAATGGAGATATATTTGTTTGTTTTGTTAAGAAAGGTAAATTTGTCCTAAAGTACTAGGAAGGAGGGAAGACATGGAACAAATTCTGAATGTAAAAAAAGAGTTATAGAAGTTTTGTAGAAGAGCAACCTTGAGAAAAGAGTTTTGTGCATGGTCAGGTTGGCTAAGATTAAAATGAATTTAATTAAGTAAGTTTTAATATGAAAAGTAAGCTGCTGCAAAATTAGAATTTGTTTTTCTCTCTCTTGAAAGGATAATTTTCTTGAACTTTTAGTCTGCTCTTGATAAATAATTATAAAAGCTTTCTTTACCTTTGCATAAATCGACCTAAAAGACAAAGATTCTATGTTTCGTCACAATAATTTCGTATGTTCAAAAAGGCTGAGATCTCTCTATTAAATTTTTTTAAGCTGTTTAATAACTCTCTCTGTTTGTCTTTAACATCTCCTGTTGTCACTTTGTTAACTGGATAACTAAGCATCGTTTATGTTCCTATTTGACCAAGTGTTTTAAAAGCTTCTGATGTTAAAATTGCATTGGAAGCATCGTCAAGTAGATAATAATAAACCTTCTTAGGTTATATTGTGTGGGTAAATGTTATTAATATAACTGCTTTAAAAATTATATAACATTCCTAAAATTTTGATCTATCCTGATTATAAAATGTTATATGTCAGAGAAATAACCAAATTTCTTTGTCAACTGTCATTTTTAAACCTTTTGTCATTTACAGACAGTTATTGTTTCACTCTGATGCTTTTTCAAGTATGTTTCATCTTCAGGGAGATTCATGGAAAGGACTCTGACCCTTAATCTAGAATCAGGTTTCTGATAAACTCTCAGATCATAAAACTGAACTGAGTAAGAAATTACACAACTCCAGTGGAGAAACTGATAGCTCACAAAAGAGCAAGATCAATAGTTGATTACACAGAGCTGAATGAACTCATGAGGATGATTATAATTTTTTTATGACTTTTTGTTTGAAATATTGCTGACTTTTTTCTTTCTTTTTTTTTTAAAGATTTTATTTTTTCTTTTTCTCCCCAAAGCCCCCCAGTACATAGTTGTATATTTTTAGTCGTGGGCCCTTCTAGTTGTGGCATGTGGGATGCCTCCTTAGCATGGCCTGATAAGCAGTATCATGTCCGTGCCCATGATCCGAACCAGCAAAACCCTGAGCCGCTGAAGCAGAGTGCGCGAACTTAACCACTAGGCCACAGGGGCAGCCCCTGACTTTTTTCTTTTTTTTTTATTGTTAAAGATTGGCACCTGAGCTAACAACTGTTGCCAATATTTTTTCTTTTTTCTGCTTTTGCTCCCCAAATCCCCCGAGTACATAGTTGTATATATTTTAGTTGTGGGGCCTTCTAGTTGTGGCATGTGGGATGCTGCCTCAGCATGGCCTGATGAGCAGTGACATGTCCATGCCCAGGATCCAAACCAGCGAAACCCTGGGCCACCGAAGCGGAACGCACGGACTTAACTACTTGGCCACCGGGCTGGCCCCTGCTGAATTTTTTAATGTTTTGTTTTTCCAGATTTAAGGCAAAATTAAAACGTTTATCTTTTTCTCCCTACCTGTTCTCTTCAGAATTGAGAATGACTGAATATTCTCATTTTCATAGCAATATGGTTATTTGCATAAGTTCAATAGGAATTTGTTCTCCTTATAACAGGACACAATTGGAAACGTTATATTACCAAGGCTTTGACTGGAATGTCATATTTGGGAAAGACATTCATAGACTCAGATATGATCAGACAGCTTTAAGGAACAAAGTTTGACTTTATGGACCAAATAAAGCCAGTTGGAAATATTGGCCTGGTACCTTGCTTACAGGGTTCCCAATAACCTTACCAGGTGAGTAAAGAAGGTCACTTCCGGGCAGGTGCAAGAACCTCGGGATACTTGGGGGGACCTCGAGAAGAGAGGAATGCACCCAAATCTATGGGTATTGCTGGCGGAGTCTGATGGCAAGTCCTTGGCTTGTCTTTCCTGGCCTTGAGAGGGCTTTAAAGTTCAATTTGAGATCCCTTATGAGAAGTTCCAGCAAAGCAGACTTAAAAGAGCCTGTATGATCACTTGCCATTCTTGCTGTACTTATGTAAATAATTGGTCCAGGTCTCTTGAAACTAGACTTATTTTGCAAGCCAATGAGTGTTAGTTTGGCTATCTTTGATAAAAATGAGGATGATTTTAGAGAGAAAAGTTATGTTTCAGTAGAAACTATAATACACATTCTAGTTCTGCTAATTGTCTTTGGGGTTTTTGTTTTCTACCTGTAAACTGGACTGGATCCTGAATTCTTCTAGTTGCCTGAAATATCTGTCTACAAATCTCCAAACTAACGTTTTACCTGATTGCTTGCTTACATGACATGGGACTAACTTTGGGAGCCCACCTGCATCCCCACCTCCTGAAATGAATTTAACTGGATGGACCTATTGTGAGGACTAAGAGACTGGTTGGTGTATTCACTGAGATGGAACAATCTACCAATTCAGCTTCTGGACTGTGAAACTTCTTGAAGTTTCAAAGTAGGGGACCAGAATTTGACACCCCAAAATGTGTCTCTTTGGCTTGATTATTTTTAAGAACAAAAGGCTCAGGAACTTCCCCCTAAAAGAATTAAGATAGCAGGTCTGTTCCAGGAAGTAACTGGAATGGTTGTCACCCTATTTCCCTCAAGATTTAGGAATGTACAAAGCAAAGGGGGAAATTGAAACAATACATAAAACATTGACCAGCTCAAACTAGTTTTGCTTCCTTAAAAAAGGTAATTGGGTAATCAAACCTTTCTCAATAATAGAGATGGCACTGTGCATGTGCCAGGTGGGAACCCATAGCCCCAGGATGACCCAGGCCTTCGATAAGAAAAATCTGGCTTCCAGTAGCCCAAGAAGCTTGAATACCATATATGGACTGATTTGACACTAGCCAACTGGCTTATATGGGCCTGGCAGAAGCTTGGTAGCTTCTAACTCCTAACATTTTGCCCAAAACCTTGGATCAGGAGACAGACTTGAGAGCTTGCCTCCTGTCTCCTGGCCAGTCAACCTTGCAATAAAGCTCTTTCTTTTCTCAGAGGTCAGTGCCATAGTATTGGCTTCTGTGAGTGTTGGGTATGAGCCCTTGCTCAGGAACAGTGCTGTCAAGTCAATTCTGACTCCTGGTGCTGCCATGGACAGCTGAGTGGAGCCCTGCCTGGTCTTTTCGCACCATCCTCATATCTTCCTGCACTATATCAGGCATTGCTCTGCTGTTATTCACAGTGTTTTCATGGCCAATTTTTTTTTGGAAGTGTGTGGCCAGGTCCTTCTTCCTAGTATATCTAGGCTGGAGGCTCTACTGAAGCCTGTCCACCATGGGTGACCCTGCTGGTATTTGAAATACTGGTGGCAGAGCTTTCAGCATCACAGCAACACAAAGCTGCCACAGTATGGCAACCGACAGAGGAGTGGTGTGGTTCCCTAACTGGGAAACAAACCTGGGCCACAGTGGTGAGAACACCAAATCTTAACCACTGGAACTCCAGCGCTGACTCATTTCTTTTTAGTGTTGAATATTATTCTACTGTCTGGATGTACCCCAGTTTATTTATCCATTCACCTACTGAAGGACATCTTAGTTGCTTCTGAGTTTTGCCAATTATGAATAAAGCTGCCATAAACATCCATGTGCAGGTTTTGTGTGGACATAAGTTTTCAACTCCTTTGGGTAAATACCAAGGAGCATGATTACTGGATCATATGGTAAGAGTGTGTTTAGTTTTGAAGAAACCACCAAACTGTCTTTCAAAGTGGCTGCACCATTTTGTATTCCCACCAGCAAAGAATGAGAGCTCCTGTTGCTCCACATCCTTGCCCACATTTGAGTGGTCAGTGTCCTGGATTTTGGACTTTCTAATAGATGTACTTGATGGCAGTGCCAGATGGGTGATAACACCGTGTGGGGCTGGTGCGATGTCTTCCGGGATACAGTACATGCTCTAAGTGAGCAACCAATCAATGGTGCTCTTTCTCCACAGTCAGGATTCATGGACCTGGGAATCAAGATGTGGAAATGGATGCAGCTCCTCTCACTGTCACCTCTACTGGCCACTTGCAAAATCGGTGCTTCCTGCTCCTGAAACTTTTTCTTCTAGAGGGTCCAGTCCCAAGGGCAAGAGTGCTTCCTCCAGAGGACGCGGGATGACTTCCATAGGCTGTCAGCCGAGGCTGTTGCCTGGCCACTCTGGACTCCTCATGCCAGTGAGTCAACGGGCAAAGATGGGAGGCTGCTGTGGCTGGGGTGACCGGGCGGGCCTGACTATCGAGGGGAAGTGGGGCTGCTGCTTCCAGCGAGGGTAAGGAGGAGCATGTGTGGGATGCAGGAGAACCCAGGCACCTCTCAGTCCTCCCCAGCCCTGTGATTAAAGTCAGGGCAAAACCCTCATGATGCAGTTCAGGCAGGACTGCTGATAGCTCAGACCCATCAGGGTGAAGGTTTGGGTCTCCCAGCAGGCAGGGAATCTTGACCAGCTGAGGAGTGTGGACTGCACATTGGAAGAAGGTCATTACAAATACCAGCTCGACCACATGACCAGCTGCAGAAGTGTCTCTTCTACTTTTGAGATGAGCGTGCTTGTGTGTTTGTTAACCACACGCTTTTGTTTTCTTCTCCTCTCTTGTGTGCTCTCATATAACATAAGATGTGTGAAGAGTGGCTGCAGGACCAGGCAACACTGGGAAGTGCGAGCCAGTGGAGGAGGCTAAACACGGCCTAAAGAAGGGGGAAGGGGCTGAGTGTTTTCAGGACGGTTGTGTTGTGTTAGGAGGGAAAATGACTGTGTTATGTCTTCATTTGGAAATTATGGCTTAAAGAGCATTGTAAGCAAGGCTGGTGTGCTGGAGGCCACGGCGACAGGGCAGGATGGCTGTGTGGCTTGGCTGGACCACTTTTCTCAGAATCCCCTCTCCTGCATATTCCTGGTTATGGGCATCACCAGAGACATTTCTGCATGAGATCTGGAGGCCAGAAGAGAAGCAGCAGCCACATTGCTGTTTATACTTGGAGAGTTGAGCTGGGGTCATGCGCATGGTGCTGGCACAGCTCCCCACTCCCGGAACCGCCCAGCCTCCTGGACTTGGGCCAGATGTGTGTCTACCTTTCTGACAAAGTGCACCAACTTCTCAGGCAGGACACCTGTCTCATCAGGGTTGGAGGTGGAGAGGAATGCGTGAGTGCTGGTCCACCCCGGTGTTTTCTGGCTGTATGCGCTTCCTCCCACTCACCCCTTCCCTCTGCCCATCCTGCAGACCTCAAGCTCCTGCCTCAGAGGCAAAGACAGTAGCCTCCCAGCAGCAATCGTTCAGCCAGCTCCCATGATGCCCAGGGCAGATGCCTGTAAACAAAGTCTGGAGGCATCTCTCTTCCTGCTGTTTCTCCTGCTGTGTCTCTCTGTCTCCGCCTCTCTCTCCTCTCTCCCTCTCTCTCATCTGTCTGATCTCCTGGATGGTTCTCCTTCTCAGCTGCACCCTGAGTGACCCGAAACAGAAGAGAGAGAATGAAGAAACAAGTCGTGCCCACGGCACCAGCAGTCTGGACTCCATTTGCTACACATCTTGTTGTGGCTGTGATTTGTGAGTTTCACTGGCCCTTTGAGGTGTACAAGTACTACGTGAAATCTGATAAACTTTTGTTATATATGTGATTTAAATTAGCTGCTTAGGAGAATTTGATTAAATACCCTTTCATCAATACCTAAATATTTAGAAAGTTTAACTTCGTTAAATATTTAATTTGGTGTTTAAGTGTTTCATATGCAATGTTTAAATATTTAAAGAAATATCATTTGATAGATTTATAGGACTGAGAAATGGGACACTGAAAAAAGTAGAGTTCCTCAGCTATTAAAGAATTGATTAATAATATATATATTATATACACACATACACACAAGGAAAGACAAACCAAAGAAAGGTTTTAGGCAACTGCTTTGAACTTCCAAGTCAATTAAAGTGAGCACGAGCTCACAGAAGCACAAGATCAACACCGCTGTGATAAAGGGCAGGTAACAGGCAGGGACAGAGTTGAGTCTTCAGTCAAAACCTGCAAAATTACAACAACACATTACAAGCAGCAAGTGGTAGACCTAATGCTGAAGAAAATCCAGGGTGGAGAAATTCCAGAACAGCCCTGGGGAAAGGCAGAGCAACCAAGTAGGATGCTGCAGTGGGGGACCGACAATGAGACTGAGAACAAAGGAATTAAAATTTCCCTCAGTTAGAGCAAAGAAAAAGGGAAAAAAAAAAATCAAGACAAGCTTTGCTAACTGCAGCTGTGCATACTCAGCTAAAACCAACCATATCTTTCTGTCTGTTTTTCCCAGGAAACCAACGTCCACACCGTCAAGAAGAAAGGAGACAGCCTCACGGGGCCAAATGCAGGCTGGTGGGAAGGCGCCAACAGCCAGGCCCCATGCCCCTCCCCTACCTAGAACCCCAGATAGAAACCCCTGCCTTTTTCCCTTTGAGGAGGCAGATCTGAGTTCTGACTCCCATCTCCTCGTCTGGCTGCCTTTTGATAATAAACCTCTTTCCTTGTCTCAAGATCGACATTTCAGTGATTGGCCCCACTGTGTGTCGGGTAAACAAACTTGCATTTCTGTTTGGTAACAACAGAGGTGTCCGAAGATTGGCCGTCTACGTAGTGGAGAAAGACAGAAACAAAGGGCAGAGGAGAATCTGAGATCTAGGCTGGAGGGTCTGTGGGTCATCTGCCATGTTTCTCTCCCCTCCCTCCACCTCTCCCCCTTCTCTTTGTTTTTTTTAAACAAAAAGAAAATATTCATTTATTACTTAGGTAATTACAAATATGTGTAATTGCTAACTGTGGCTTTTCTGAAAATACAGATGAGCCTGTCATTGCAGAATGAAAGAACTTGCTGTGTTCCAGAAGAAAGCGTGATCGACGTGTTCACCTTCCAGAGCTGAACTTGTTTCCTTCTGTTCCTGATTGGGGTGTGTGTGTGTGTGTGCTCACATGTGCTGCATGTGCTTGTGTGTGCATGTATGGGGGGGTACCTGGTAGCTGCCAACCCAGCACCCAGCCTCCCCTCCATGTCTGGATTCCTGGGGTGTCACTCACATAGTAAAAGTCACCTTTTGGGGGCATCACTGTGTGAATTTTAACAAACGCAAGCAGCCGTGCAACCAACACTGCCCTATGTGCCCCAGTGACTCCCACATGCTGCCCTCCCCACACCCTGGCCCCACACCCCGTCCGCTTTCTGTCCCGAGTTTTGTCTTATCCAGCATGTCATGTGATGGGATCCCATGGCTGGCGGCCTTTGGTCTGGTGCCTTTCCCTCATACGATGCCTCTGAGACTCAGGGGGCCGTCATCCCTATGGCACTTGCTCCCTTCTTGCTGCTGGGCTGTACTCTGCTGTATGGCGGGGCCATGGTTTATCCACACACTGATTGAAGGGCATTTAGGTGGTTTCCTGGTTTGGGCAATTGTAAATAAATCACTATAAATATTTCCTTACAGATTTTTATGTGAGCAAGTCTTCATCTGTTTAGGGCAGTTTCTCAACCTTTTTAAAATTATTACTCCTTGAGAAGCCTCTTAGACGTATTTTTCTTAACCGTCCTCCTCTGCCACGATGCTTTAATACCGCAGACGCACTGTGCACCTGCCTGTGCATGTTTTGAACAATGGGAAGATGTAAATAATGCTTTTGATGAATATTTGATGCCTTTGGAAATTGCCTAGGATATAACAAATGAAAAAAGGATACAAGAATGTATAGAATCCCGATTTTGGGAAAGAAAGTTTAAGGGAAAATGTACAAATGTTAGCAGCAATTCCTGCTGGATATGAGGTATGGGTGGCCTTGGTGTTCTCGCTTTTCCTAACCGTCCCGCAGTGAGCATGGATTCAGCCATTTGCAGCCACAAGCCCCAGCAGCTCCGGCCTCCGTCCCTGCCACTCAGGCCCAGTTGGCTGCCTGACCTGTACACACTGGCGCCTGCCTCTCCTCCCCTTGTGCTCAGGCCCCTTCAAGGGCATGGCCACAGCATGGGCCCTGCTGCTGTGACCTCCTTGGGGCACTGTCATTGGCCTGTCCCTGGACTCACTGGTGTGGGGTGAAGTGGGAGAGTGCCCAGCCCTTTGGGGGCTGCCCTCCATTGGAGGTCCCAGCCCCTTCGAGCTCCCTGGTGAAATGCCTCCTTTCCTTCTCCCTAGAAATGCCCCTGCAGCCACAGCCGAGATGCCTGAAGTGCAGGGACTGGAGTCACAGCCGAGTGGCAGCCCCCGCTGGGTGCTGCGGCTCTCGCACCCTGAGAGGCGAGCCAGCTGCTGGGAGCCAGGCTGTGTCCTCAAGCTGGTCTCCTTACCAGGCAGGTCTGTAGAGAGCCGAGCACAGCACGGTGCTCCCTATATGGTGGATAACATTGACTAAATGGGGTCACGGGTGGAGTTGTCAGCCTTGGTTCTGGAAGAAAGCCGGGGGTGACAGGGGCGATAGGGGTGATGGGGGTGGGGCAGGATGAGGACAGAGCTGCCTGGTGCTGCAGGAGGGTTTCGTGAAGCATGGAAAGAACAGACTTCAGGGTGAATGCGAATGAAACTAGACACTCGCAGAGCACATGGAGGCCGGAGGGTTTTCAATGGGGGCATACTTCGCCTATGTTTTGCAGAAACTGCTCTGACAGCAGTCTGCAGGCAAGAAGGGCTCACGCACTTTGGAGCCAGGTGCCATGCCCAGTGCTCCTTAGCATACGTCCTGCCAAACTTGGGGTTTACTGTCTGGTGGACCCTCAGCTACCAGGAGCTCTCTGTAGAGCGGCTTCCACAAGGTCAGGGCTAGCCCTTGGGGTTACCCACACACAAACAGGCGGCCCGCTTCTGTGGGCCTTTGTGGGTCATGTGCATGCTCAGCTGGCGCGTTTCTGAGATGACAGTAGTCTGCATAGGGCGGCCCCACCCTGGGGTCCCCTTGTGGATCCCTGCTTTGTTGCACTTGGGTTCAGGAGCTCTTCCCTGGTTTGCTGTACACTCGGCCGGAAACCAGTCAGTTCGTGTTGAACTGACCCAACAAGAGTCAAGCCTGTCCTGCCCGAGGAGCGTTTTCTCTGTGTTTCTGCTCATAGTGGAGTCGTGAAAGCACGTGCTTGTTGAGAAGCTAAATTCCAGCACGAGGTTCCCCAGGTTGAGGTCAGTCACACATAGCCACTGACAAGCTGGAGTTCAGGGGCAAGGCTCACCCTGTCTTCTCAAGTGGCCAGGCATAGGTCCGGGAGAAGCTGCTCCCCTCAACCCAAAAGCTCTGTGTCTGCCCGCTGGCTTGGCCACCGCCAACCCCCACCCTCGGCACCCATGCCACCAACCCCACCTTACCACATGCTCCCTAACCAGCCTGCTGGGCAGCCAGATGCTCCTTTAAACGAGTCAGCAGCTGGAACTTCGGGGTTATCTCCTGATGAGGCCTTCCCCCACCCCATGCCCGCCCACCCCCATGCACCCACCACTTGGCATCCTCTAACCACACACTTCTTGGTTCTTTGTGTGGTGGCCTCGGGCTTCCTGCTCTGACAGTCCCAGACCTGCACACAGAGCTGTAGGGTATGGGTCACCTAACCCAAGGAGGTCGGCTGCACGGGGCAGGCAACAGAAACATCTGCTGTGTGAAGGGAAGGACGTGGAGACCCGCACGGGGCAGTGACTGACACCGTCCCCTAAAGCAGGTGCACCACCCACCTCGGGTTCATCCCCAGCTGAGGGAGGGGTCTGTGGGCCAGATGGCACCCCCTGCTTATGCCATGTCCACTGGCAAGAAGTGGGTAGCTGAGGCATCGCTGTCCAGCTCCAACTTTCCAACATAGAAGAGGTCAGTGAGGACACGAGGCAGACAACCTTCCGTAGATGTTTATTCTACTTCAAGTAACAAAACCTATGAAGTTCCACGTTTTAATGTACAGTGATATACTTTGCAATATAAAATACAATTTACAGAAATTTCTATCAAGTAAAACTAAAGAAACACACTTGATTTTTACATTTGTGTATTTAAATTAGAAAAATTTGTTTTACATGTAAAAAACCTTCACATCATATTAAATGTTGGGACTTGCCACCACCTTAATGTAATTTAACCTACTGACACTGGCTTTATAAACCGATCATCCCAAATTGCTACGTTCTCGTTTCATAACTTAAACATTTGTGCTAGGAAGTGAAAAATCTGTAGTGATGTACGATGGAATAATAGACTCCAAACAACAAATGAAATTCTCTAATTTTACATTTGTAAAAGTAAGTTTATGAAAATATAAAAAAATTATCAAAGTGTATTTGTACAGTCAAATAAATTAGCAAGGTTTTCTCTATTTCACACTTCAGAAGTACTTGAAAAATACATGACAAGAAGCAGTGCACTGCATTTCACAGTGAAAAGCTTTCTAGTTTGTAGTTCTTGAACTAATATCACTATTTTTCATCTCACTTTATACAAATATTGTTCCATTTTCAATGACAAACTTTAAAATTTACCACCTGACACATAGAACGGTCTGGAGCTGTGCGCTTTCCCGGGACACAGGAAGAAGTGCTGAGATGGTGGAGCTCCAAGAACACGGTCCTGATATTCAGATCAAAGAAACCCACCCCCGCCTTTTAAAGTACACTTAATTGGTTTATTTCCTCACTTTCTTTAGGCTGGTAAAATTTGAACTTCTTTCAATAAATTGTTATTTAAAATGCAACAATTTCTATTCTAGCAGATGTTGCTTTTAATCATGTTTTTGAAAAAAATGTATGAGGTGATAATAAAAACGGAACAAAACTAAGAAATGTGTTTTGTTTCCTGGATGAAATTTGTCATTCAAATTTATGGCAAAAGAAAAAAGCATTTGTAAGTTTTGTGTTTCTCACCATTCCAGGGACGAGCTGACATGGTTCTCCCACAGCCACAGCACACTGCCCTTTGGGAGAGCCTGTCAGACCTGGACCAACAGCTTTTGGAGCACAGAAAGACAGGAGACGTCAGCAAAGATATGGCTCTGAGCTCCACTGAAATTCCCCTAAAATTTACACTAGTCAAGTTATTGGAAAAGATAACTCTATAATCTGAAAAAGCAATATGCTTTTGTAGATACTTTCCCATTTTAGTAATTTTAAATGGAAACATTAAATGAGTTCTTAGTTTTTTTAAAAAAGCATCAGAATTGTAAAGATGTGAAATTTTGTAAGAAACCATTATACACAAAACTACAGTAATTTTTGAAGTCCAGAATATTCTATTCTGCATCTAAGTTTATAGCTATTTCAAAGACGATTTGTTGAACACATTTTATGAGCGTGGCTTTTACAGAGGCTGCTGCCTGCTGCGACACACAGGCAAGGACGAGGGAGCCCAGGCCCCTGTCGCAGCCCCCTCACCGGCCTAGGTCTGGGCGGCGGGGTCGGCCCGCGGGGCCTCGGCCTTCAGGTCCCGAGTGCTCTCCTTGCTTTTGCTGCGGTCCTTGCGGTCTCGGCCCCGCTCACGCTCACGGGCCTTTTCGCGGTCCCGGTCTCTGCTGCGAGACCGCTCGCGCTCCCGGTCCCGTCTCCGGTCCCGCTCCCGGTCCCGGTTCCTGCTGCGCTCCCGGCTGCGATCAGACTCCCGCTCCCGGTCCCTGTTGGCACTCCGCTCCCGGCCACAGTCCTTGTCTCGGTGTCTGTCCCACTCGCGGCCCCTCTCCCACTCGCGTTCCCGGCTCCAGTTCCGGCTGCGCTCTCGGTCCCAGGGCTTCCCATGCTCCCGCTCCCGCCGGCGGTCTTCGAAGGCCCGGCCCTGCCGAGTCTCTGGCAGCTGAGCTTCAGGCTCATCCAGCGGTTTGTCTTTGGGCCCAGCTTCAAATCGCTCCCTCTGCCTCCCTTCAAAAGTCTGGTTTCTGTATTCGAGGCCTTTGCCCTCTCGGAAGTCAGAGGACGCCCACTGAGCATCAGCCTCGGGGCCCTGCCCAGGCCCACCAGAGGGCAGGGAGGAGGGTGGGCCGGCCTCGTCCCACCTGTCCTTCCTGTGCTGTGGTGGGTGGCTCGGGAGCTCCAGCAGGGGCCGGGGAGCAGGCTTCATCCCCTGTGCAGACTGGCCCTGGAAGTGGAAGCGGGAGGGTGCAGGGTCATTTTTTTCAGGAAAAGGCGCAGAGCCCCTTGGTCCACTAAACTGAAGGGGTGCTGGCGCCCTTTGGTTTGCAAATCTCGGTGGTGAATTGACCCTTTGTTCCTCAAACTGCTGAGGCTGAATCCCCCTGGGCCCTGGCATGAAATTCGGTGCTTGGCCTCTGGGTCCTTCAAACTGATTGGGATGAGGACCCCGGGCAGTTTCAAACTGACTAGGATGTGGCCCCCTTGGGCCAACAAAATGGCCAGGGGGTGGTCCTCTCTGACTTCCAAACTGAGAGGGAGGAGGTCCTCCCCGGGGTCCTTTAAACTGAGACAGCAGAGGCCTTCTTTGGCCTCCAAATTGGAAAGGTGCTGGGCCTCTATTTCCCATGAACTGGGCTTGTTCTGGTCCTTCAAACTGCGCAGGAGGGCCAGCCATCTCATTGTACGGGGCATCTTGGAATTCCCTTTTTTCCCCATGGGGATCCTTGCGTTCTTCGAATTGGGGTGGTGCTGCTCCTCTGGGCCCACCAAGGTGAGAGGGGGAGGGCCCCCTGCTGTCCCCGTAGGGAGGTGGCCCGTGTGGCCCTGAGAAGAGGGAAGGAATAGGCCCCTTCTGGGCCCCGACTCTGGCTGGCGGTGGCCCTCGTGGCCCATCGCTGTTGGAAATGATATTCTCTTCTGAAAACGGAGGGACTGGTCCCCTTGGTCCTGGGAAATTTGGGCCATGAAGCCCTGACATTCCAAAAGTGCGTGGTGTGGGCTCACGCTGGCCCTGAAACTGGGGCAGAGGGGCCCCCCCTTTCTGCCCAGGTGTGGGGAATGTGGTGGTCCCATCGCCAGGTCTGGACTGTGGCTCTCTGTCTCCTTCAGTTTCAACTGCCAGATGGTCACTTTTTTCAGGAAACTGAGCATTTCTTGGATCCTCATACGGGGACGAACCAAGGGATTTTTGCTGAGATGTAAATACTGCACTTGAGAAAGGATCCCTTCCTCCAGGAGAACTAAAATTCTGCCCCTCGTTCTGCACAGGGAGGTTAGGCTGGAAGGAGGTGCTCGGGGGCGTGGGCAGCAGCACCTTCCGGGCAGGTCTGGACATGCCCTCCCCACCTGCCGTGGGGTGAGTGCTCTCCACGGGCTGCTGGCCTGGGCTTTCTGAGGACTCACGCTGGGGGCCGTCCTGCTTGGTCAGGAGGGGAGCCTCTTCACCTGGAGGCCACAGCGGAGCAGCCGACTCCTTTTCTTCCTGAGCCGGCACAGGACCCTGGCCGGCAGCGGGCCCTCCGGGCGCGTCTCTCATTGGTGGGGCGCTGCGTGCACTGCTGGCTGGGGGCTTTGAGCCCGGCTCACTCTCGCTGCTCTCGGCAGCTAATCGCCGGGCCTGCCGGGGGTCGCGACTCTGTCTTGGGTCAGAGCCTGGGCCCGCTCCCTGACTGGTGGCAGGGAGCACAGCTGACTTGCCTGTAGCCTGCGGCTCCTGCGGGAACAGCTCGGCCTTGGGCAGCGAGGACTTTGGAGGCGGCGACATCAGCGCGTCTGACACGGAGAAGTGAGCCATGGAGACCCCGACGGCGGCCCTTTGCTGTCGAAGAGCTTCTTCTTGCTCTTCGACTTGTCTCTTCTGCTCCTCGATCTGTTTATTGAGCTCTTCTATCATTTTTTGTTGCTCAACCAAGGAGGGAGTTGAGACGTCGGCAGCATACTCAGCAGGCCTCTCTGTTGAGCTGCCTTTCACGTCTGCACACATTCTATTGGGCAGGTCGTCAATCGTCACTTTGGCTTCTTCTAAGATCGTCTCGTCCTCCGGGTCGTATGCCACCTCCTCCCGCTCGGCGGCCTCAGGGGCCCTTTCCCCGTCATGGCGTCTTCCTCGCTGGCTGGCCTGAGTGTCAAAGGCTCGCTCAGGTCCATACTCCTCTTCAGGGTCATACGGTCTGTCATCTTCCTCTTCCTCCAGAGCTTTCTCCTTTGAGAACTGACCAAACTGCTGGACGATTGGATCTAGTAAAGGCGCTGCCGGCAGCCCGCCCTCAGCCTTGGCCCTGGAGTCGTGGTGGGAGGCTGAGGCGGGCTCCACAGGCTCTTTGGTGGGAGGGTCAAATGATTTCTTCTTTCCAAAGAGAGTCTGCAGGATATGTTCTAGGGGCGAAGCTGTTTTCGGAGCAGAGGAAGTGACAGAGGAAGCGGCTGCTGTAACCGTCGCTGGTGCGGGTGACACCGTGACAGTGTTCGTGGCTCCTGGTTTGAGGGATGACAGTATTTTTAACACCGATGATGAAGTTGGTGCAACTGGTGGTTCTGGCAGTGGGGGCGGGGGTGGAGGTGAGCCCGGGGGTGTGGTGCTGACAGCGGTCTCCCCAGGGCAGAGCTGATACTTGGGGGGCTTCTTCTCAGACGGCTGTGCTGGAGGCATTTTGGGATAGGCTGAAACATCCATTTCTTCCTGTGCCTGCAGTCTGGTCCGCTTCTCCTCTGTCTTGTCTAATTCTCCAGCATTTGAAGGACGTTTTATTTTTTGACAGATTACTAACCCAAGGATTATGTTTGGACGTGGTGACTCAAGACCTGAAAAACAAAGTATTTGTGCAAATTTTAGAATCTAAATTCAGCTTTTGTCCTTCAGAGTTAAACTTTATTAAGTGTGGTAGTGGGGAATGTTTTAATAGGTAGAAGGAAGAAATTCTGAGGCAAAATAAAACCAAATGTTTGAAGAGCTTATTGTAAAAGGCCCACCCAGCCCGACATGGGCCTTCTGACAGGAGCAGCTAACCCGAGTCCCAAACCACAGAACCAAGGGCTCAGTTCACAAGTAAATTCATCCCAATTGCCGGCATTTATGTTACAGATTTAAAAATTACATACGATGCTAAAGCAGGAGTGTGGGAGGAGGTGGGGAAGGCCTTATGTGAATGCTTAATGTCACTAGCCCACAGGAACGGAGGCGTGTGGACCAGGATGCTTTTTAAGCAACATCTCCAGCTGCGCTCTCTATTCGCCTCTTGCTACATACACATCAGGAGGCACAACCTTTCTGTCCTTAACTTAGGAGTTGCAATACATAAATTAAGCCAAATATACTAATATTAAAAGTTCAATTAGAAATCAATTCTATAACTCAATTATAGTGATCAATACAGCACACACCATTAGGTACATTCACAAGTGATTGGTGACAAAATCACAATTAATGAAAAAAACGAAGCTGACTGAAATGGCTAAAATAATGTTCTTTTAAGTTTAGAAAAAGCTTCAATGAGCATTAACTTATCAGGAGCTACCTAATGCTCAAGTCTTTGTAAACACGGGACCTGGCGCTTAAATAAAGCGCAGAGGTGATCAGAAAACTGGCGGCAGAGAGCAGACCCAGTGGAAGACACCCTGGGAGCTCAGGGCACAGCAGAGCTCTTAAAAGCAATGATTTACTACAAAAGGATTATTCCAAACATGCTACACTGTGGCACAAGATATCAGGGATGCTAACACTTCAGTAATGACCCCCACCCCCACACTCATAATAAATTCAGAATACCAAAGGGAAGCAAAAAATCTAAGTCACAAAACAGCAATTTAGGGAGAAATGATATACAAACTTTGTCTCAATAGCAGGAGGTATTTAAAATTAAGCAAATTCAATTTATAGATATTTTTAACATTACTATGGTAAACATATTCAAGCCGCATGATTCTTTTACTTCCTAAAAAAGAAAATCAGTACTTTTCCTATTCTTTTTGTGATTTTAAAGATGATTACAAGTCACTTCAAATAAGCTGTTTTTGGACATCATTATTTAATTCTAAAACATCTGTTAATCTTCCTAAATTCCAGTGGAGACGGGTCAACAGGCTGACACACAAGGGTGGTGGACATCCCAGCCGCCCCTGAGGAGGACCAGGCACGCAGTGAGTTAGGGTGAGCCAGCACACACTCGGGCGACAGGGATTGCTACCCTCCCTCCCAACTGTGTCCTTCACAGGCTGGTAGGCAAGAGCTGAGATGCCCAGTGAAGACAGCCATCCCAGGCCCTCACCACCACCTTCCTTAGAGAAATGCCTTCCAACATCCTCTCCCTGCCCTTGTGATACGCAGCTGTGTATCAGGGAGAGGAGGGAACAGAGACGGGACAGTTAGGCAGGCTACACTAAGTATCCCACCCAGCTGACTCTGCTCAGCAGATGTGAAGAGTAATCTATCAGGTTCACTTTCTAATTAACATGAATTAAGGATATTCTAACTTAAAACAGTACTTCCTTCACTATAATAGCTATTTACTGAGTACTTTATAACCTATTCAAATCCAGTTTTGGGGTATGATGAATTGGCTCTTACAGCCTTTCTGGACCAAATGTATGTCGACAGTGGTCCCAGAGCTTGCAGAACAGGTTTCCGTGCTGAGCACTCTCGGCGCACACAGCCACAGCTGAAGCTGGGGGACAGCTCTGAGCCTCCCTCTCCCTGAGCGCCTGACACCAGGAGCAGAGGAAAAGAATGTGCTTGCCACGTGGTGGGTGTGAGCCAGGGCTGGGGGGCCATAGCATGGAGAAGCCCACTCGAGCAGCCAGGACCCACGTCTTGTCCTCAATGCAGAGGGACTATACCACCCCATAAGGAAAAGCTCCACTTCTAAAGTGCCAACACTACAGCTTGTGGCACGAACCAAGCTTCAGGTCACTACACCGTGTGTGTGAGGGGTAAATCGTCATGGCAGACCCGGGAAAACATGGTCTCTGGTCTTGTGATGTGCACCACTCCAATGAACACTTTCAATGGCTTAATGTGCTTACCAAAGGAAATCGTCAGTATATCCCAGCCTTGGCAAGAGCCTTCAGATTTTAACCTTTGTTGTCATACTCATCACAGGTAAGGTCATGCTTAAATTACTTAATCTTTACGTCTGTTTTGAAAACAGCAAGCTGTCAGGAGACTGGCATCTAATTAAGCAGCTGGTATTTTTAAATGCTTCAATTCTCGCCCACCTCACCTGAACACACTCCTAAGTGTCTAATCAAGCTCCAGAGCCAGCTCAGTTAGTTCTAAATTTCCCCACTAATCTCCAAGATTTTAAATTTAAATTGGGCTGTCTCAAAATGTGTACCCCTATCTTGAAGCAGTCAAACCTTATCATCTGATTTATATGTTCTTGTTATGGTTGCATGAACATTTGAAATGTAACTAGCATCTTGGAAAGAACTTATATTCATGGAAGAAACAATAAAATTCACACTGATCTATCTTGGGCCTTGGAAGCAATCTCTCCTGAGATGAGAATACACCCCAAATTGGATCCTGCTCTGCACCGCGTAAGGTGGATGTCTCACAAGGCGACCACTGACAGGAGATGATGAGGTATTCACATCTGGGGAGCAGCAGAGGGCCATCTTTCCTTCCCAGGCTCCCACTCCTGGCCTGGGGCTCTCCAGGCTCACCCACTTGGGAGCCTTACCCTGGGGAGAGGATCGGGTGCCCTAAGAAGGTGCAGCAGCAGTGACCATGCTGGCTCCAGCCTAGGCACAGGGATGCTTCTCTGGTTTTGCAAAATCGCTTTTTTCCATTATTAGAAGGAGGCATGCCTACTTACCCACCTCCCTTCTGCGGGTTGTTGTGAGGTTTATAACTCATAAAGCAGATGAAAACAAGCAACTAGACAGGTGGGATATGGAAATGCCAGCTGCAGCTAAATGTGCCACCCTCCACTTCCACACAAGGAGTGTCCATCAGACTAAGAAGGGTGGTGGCACTACTGGTCTGCCCTGCCTCCAAAACACGAGAGCCAATGTCTGTCTTCAGAATGCATCGTGTGGAAGAGAACAAGCCTTTCTAGCTGCATGCAGGCATCCTCTGAGTTCTCACAGTAGAAGGGTCTAGCCTCAGCCCCAGTGGTTAGAATGAGACCACCCATAGAGAAAAAGTGGACAAACCCAGGGACAAGGGGACATCTGAAAAGATGTGTGCCAATTGGTTTCCTGAGACAAGACCAAAGTCAGGATCCGTATATCCAGGTGTGTCAGCAACAGAGATGTGAGGGCAGTGAAGTGGCCGGGAAGCAGTCCTCTGGGGCCTCCCTGATGCACCTCAAACTTGGCATATTGCAGGACAAAGTTTAGTTCTAATAAATAAGCCATCTGAAAGCTGACTCCTTAACTCTAAAATTATTAAAATGATGCTTCTACCCCTAAATCTATCTGGTATGCTCCGTTATTATTTAAAATCAAAACCCTCAGACCCTCTTATGGTCTGAGTCCGCCAAAATTTTCACACCTGCTGGAACAGAAACTGTGCGGGAGTTAACAGGCAGTAGTGCTTAAGTATGACTTGGCTAGAAAGAACCTTGGCAAACACAGGGGAAAGAGTGTCCTCCCCCTCCACCACACACACCCACTCACACACAGACACACACAACTCTCCCTCTTTCCAACTTTGAATCCCTAAGACCTGTGCGAAGCCGGCGCCAGCGCGTGTTTCAGGTAAAAGGAGAGCGTTGTCCATCTTCATCCAGGTGCCCCCAGAGCAGTGCCAGCCTGCACGCCCTCAGCTGGGCTGCACTCCCAGAGGTATGTCACGTTGGCTCGTGAAAAGCAAAGGTGGAGACTTTCGTCCTCCATCTCACTGGATCTGTGATAGGTACCAAGAGCTACCAAACGGTTCAAATTCAAACAAACAATGACCAGTTTCCATGAAATATTTTTATTGATGTTGAAGAAGAGCAGTACATTCCATTCGATACTATATGCGACTTTGATTACAATATCTACGCACAGCTATTGATACATATGTACATGAAAATTGAAGAAATGCTTACCTGACAATATTTCAAGTCACAGAATTTTTCAGCTAATTTAGAAAGCAGTTAAAGTGAATACCGAAAGACGACTATGGATGACTTTCCATTTGAACTGTGAAAGTTCAGAGACTTTCTGAGAAACGGCCCTCTCCATCAGAACCTCTAAGAAGGTAGAATTCCTGCCCTCTGCGTATTCTGTGCCTGTCTTAGAAACCCACTGTCACTCCACAGGCCTTCTGAACGGAAAACCCGAGCCCTACTGACTGACTCGGGAGTGACGGGTGCCCGGGCCTAGGTCCAGTGCCGTTGGGGTCACACAGGGAAGCACAGAAGATGAGTGTCCAGTCTGACTGGTCTTCCTTCCATGAATAAGGCCCCAAGACGTGTAGACCATCTGAGCCCGAGTCCCCAGCGGTGAAGCCCCATCCGTGTAAGCAGCATCGAGCTGGGCTAACATCCAAAGTGGAAAAGACGGTCAGCTGGACTCGAGACTCAGGCTTTCCAGCTGTCCTCTGAAATAACGCTGCCAAGTTATTAAAAAATGCCACTGTGTGACAGAACAAGATAACCTGGCATTTCTGTGCACAAATGATAAAAATATGCAAGGACTAAAACGTCCCGAGAAACAGCCCACTCTGGACATGTTCTGAATGCTGTGTGGGAACCCAGTGTGTGGAAACCATTTCCCCTGTTTACTGTTGATAGAGCATAGCTGAGATAACAACAGGGCACTGACCCAGGGGCAGGCCACTGCAGGCTTGACCGGGTGAGGACGTGGTCTAAGCACACTTGCTTCTCAAGTGTGAACAGCAAGAACTGGAGGAGAACACTATGTCATCAAAATCTCCTGGTTCCTAAGGTCAGAAGCTGAGGGACACCTGTAATTTTCTATAGGTATGAAATGGATTTCAAGCTGAGATTACGTGTACGAGATGGTCACTCTAGCCTGTAACAACCGCTCGACCTCCAACAGAACCTCCTACATACCCTCTCACAGGAGAGGACTCCATCTGCTCACGTATCAGTCCCTTTACACAGACTGGCAGCTCCCCAAAGCTGGAGCTCCATGTCCCACCCAAGGCCTGTGCTTTGTGCACCGCACAGAGAACTGACGGGCAAAAAGGCCTTGGGACAGAGAGCAAGGTGTTGGAATGGAGACAGGACCAGGTGCAAACCCTGGCTTGGCCACTTACTGGATGTGTGACCTCGGGTGAGGGACGGCAGTGGGCAGTGCAGGTCACTCCCTTGGAGAACAGGGGTAAATGCTCCCTCCTGCAGGACTGCGGTGGGAGCCATGGACGCTCCTGTCAGGCTGTGGGGCACTGGCCATGTCCTGCTGGCTGCTCTGCTGAGGGACACCATTGCCACCCTCAGATTGGGTCTGTGCCTTTGAAGGATGCTGTGCAGAGACTAACTCCATGAGGACAAGGACCACCACCAAGACGGGAAAACCATTTCCATGCCCAGCCTTCCAAACACATGCACACACACGTGACATACACAAGCGACACACACATCACAAAACCAGGACACACGCCCAGCCTTCCACACACACACCATGAAACCAGGACACACAAGCATCTGTAACTAGAGAACGCCAAGCCTCACGATGAGTACTTGAGGCAGGGTAGGTGGATTAACCTGCCTGGGATCAAGTTTGTTGGCTCACGTGGAGTATATAAAACATACATAGATATTAATGTCAAGCAATGGTATCAGGAGGATAGAAAAGATAATACACTAATTAAATAGGCTTAGATTTAGAAGAAGATCTTAAATTTTAAAAAAAATCTTTAAAAGCTTACTGGCAAAATTTCATTCGTTACTACATTTCTAAAACCCTTTCTACTATTTTAACAAAACACTTTTGTTCTTTTCTGTGGATGAAAATCTGTGGGTCTTTTGGGTGTCCCCTTCGGGCAGCGTCAGAGCCTCAGGAATGTGGGTGGATGAGTGTGAGGTCCACTCCGTGGTCACCAAGTGTGTCTGAGTGGTCAGCGCCCATCAGACTTAGCAGATGAGGCAAGCACCCCTGCCCAGACCAGCCCTCTCCTCTCCTCCTGCCACTTGAGCTGTCACCCAGGACTGTACCCACGTGACCCAACTCCCGCTGCGGCTCCAATGAAGGGTCTCCTCTGGTGGCTTCCCTTGACTGACCCCACCTGTCCAATGCAGGGAACCAGTCCCTGCCTAATCGTGAACCTAAACTCCTTCCATCCTTGTCACAGCAGGGCCTGTCATGGTACCCCAGGGCCCGTTCAACACACCTTATGACCCTGCTCCTCTGCCAAGATGCCAACTGGGATGGTCTCAGGGAAGCTCACACTGCTGAGTTTGCAGACGGAGTGGCAAGAGGAGCTCAAAGAAGGATGAACTAGTGCTTTAATTCTGTTTAAAAGAGGCGGCTCAGAATTTTCTAACTTGCGTTTCTGTTATCAAAAAGTGCTTTAGCACTGAGAGGAAGATGTCTGTGTTAGTGGGAATCATGTGCTTACACTAGATCCTGCTCACAAGCTTCTACACGTGTGACTGACTGGAGGTTCTTCAAGGGCACCTGAGAAGTCAGCTTCTTCATCTTCACCTCAGGAACACAAGACGTGTCTCCCTCCACGGTCGTTCAGGGAGCTGGCCCATGTGCTTCACACAGCTGCTCACCAAGAACCTCTGAGACTCTTTCTGCCACCCATCAGGTGGTCTTTCCTCACCCCAAGGGATGTGAGATGATACCCTGAAGTACTTGGCTTTTCAAATGTATCTGGTATTAAGATAATTTAGTGTATCAAGCCAGTATATATTTAACCCTGCAATTATTGACATCAACCAATACCTTTGTGGGTGCAATTCTAAAAACTGGCACAAGCTGAGCCCACCTCAAGTACTAAAAACGTGCACCAGTCAGGACGTGAGAGCGTGCTTGTGGGTGGTGGGCTCTAGCCCTAAGCAGGGCCAGGGAGAGCAGAAGCCCTATAGGATCCTAGCTGGTTTAGGTGTGGTGGGGGGTCAGCACGTGGCTGTGGCAGGAGCATTTGCCAAGGCTGGTGCCGGGAGCCAAGGACACGTAGGTGTCAGGGTCTAGGCAGCACAGCGACGGCTCAGGGCGTTCAGCCACTGCCTCTAGAACAATAAGGCACTTCAGCATTCAGCACACTTGGACACCACAGCTTTCAGGTAGGATCAATCCTGTGGGGACTGCATGGCCAAGGAGGGGCTTCCATCTAGGCACCTTTCGCCAACTGCGTAACTTAAGTCACATCAGCTTCTTCTCTGGGGCTAAGAAAGGGCAGGGCCCTCACAGACCACTGCCCTCGCAATCCCCCTCAAACCCTGGACAAGTCTGAACTCTCTCTTTAGGTTAATTTTAGGTAATCCTTTAAAAGCAGCACTTCCTAGGAAGGAGGAAACACAAAGCAGTTTGCTAAAGATAAAAGAACTTAATAAAATTTGAGCAGTAGATCTGAAAGCAATTATTTCTAGAAATATTTTTCTATTTTACACTATCTTTTGTAGTTCCTAGAAATTAATCCCTGTTAGAGGAAAGAAGCCTCTGACTAATCTTTGTTCATTCCTGAGCTGAGGATTAAGAATAAAAATCCCATCTGAGTGAAGACTGTGAGCGACAAGCCAATAGGCAGTATTACCTTTTCTTCCAGCTCTTCTCTGGGTTCCTGGGCATTTGAACATTCCACTGACCTGAGGCCGTGACAAGCTGGTTGGACGCTGGGTTTTTCTCTCTTCATAAAACTTTTCTAAGATAATTTATGTCAATGATAAGGGTACTCCTAGTGTCACCCTCCAATATCCCAGAAGCTGAGTTCTATAGCTAAATGTTGCTTCATCCAGACTGCTAATTCCTGGTCCTAGAAGTCACAAGTTGGCCAAGCGGCAGATGTGCCTGTGACAAACTCAGCAGGACTCAGCGTTGGTGGGAAGGGGATGTGTGGGATCAGACGTACCTCAGTACCACCCAGTAAGTGGGCGCTTACCTGGTCCCTCAAAGGGCAAGAGTTTGGATGGAACGGGGTCCTTCGCACTCAGTGGGATCAGATAGAGGTCCTTGACGTGCCTGCTGTTATTAGCTACAACGCCGAAGCGGCCACGGCTGCTAAAATAGGAGTAGAGAGAGATATAGGCCACCTCCTCTTCCTCTGTTGCGGGGTGAAAGCGGATCAGACACAGCTCCTACAACAGAAACCAGGACAGAGAGCATTGACCTGCGGCTACTCTAGAAGGCATCTGCTGTCATTTTGTATTTAAACCACAAATGCAATCTGAAATGAGAGAAACGAGCAATTCTCTGATTCTGATTTTCACAGTCTTACGGTCCAACATGTTAAATCAATGACGTGGGAAAGAGAATCAGGCTCAAGTATCAGATTGCTGGATTCGGATCTTGGTTTCAGAAGGACTCTTTAATACTTCTCTACTCACAGCCCCAGTGTCCTCAAAACAGTGCCCATCTCACGGAGCCCTCGTCCCGACAAGGTGACCCACGTGCAATGCTAGCTTAGTGCTGTGTCTGGTACAGAGTAAGCTTTCACTACCTGTGACAACTGCAGTCACAATCAACTGGCTGTCTGAGCTACCAAAGCCAGAAACGGAAGGGCTAACCCAGACAAGAGGTCCACACCCTTCTGTGAGCCCAATAAAGACTTAAAGCCCCTTCCCAAGGGGCACAGTGCCTCCAAACACAGCGCAGCTCCACCTCAGGGTTCAAAGAGACCGAGCCCGGCAAGAGCCCAGGCCACACACCCCAGCCAGACCAGCTCCCGGTCCCACCCCTACTTCAATCACAAAACACTAAGGAAACAAGGTGTCTACACTTCTTACGAACACTGAACTGCATATATATTATTAAAATAGGAACAAAACTTGCATCACGGCATTACCCAGACACACTCTCCCAGTTATCCAGCCATAACTTAAACATGCACCTGGAAATATCTAACTACAGGCTGACATTTCTAGTATTAACTCATCAAGATGAGAAGTGAAAGAAAGAGCTGTGTTTAAACAAACACCTTCTTCCACAGGAGCAGAGACGAGACTGGGAGCAGGTACCTTAGACACGGAAGACTTGAGTTTGCCGACATAATCCCAGACTGTCCTGGGTGCAATCCTTCCACCGATGTGAATCGTGTCCGGCAGGTCCTAAACAAAACGCACCTTGCATAAATGACTGGTAAAACCGTAGCATTCACAAAAACTGACATAGTAATTTCAAAGCACCAACTACTCGAGATTCAGGAAAACCATAACTACTCCAAAGAAAACGGTAGTAACAACGTTGTGTGCTGCTGGGTCCCCTCACAACAAGGGTTATGAGTAGCAAACCCAAGGAGGGCAGGACAAAAACCTTCTCCAAACAGAATTACGTTTGAAAACACGTTTACGTTCCCTTTCATGAACACATACGCACAGTAATAACTCAAATGCTGGTCAGAAATGCCCAACTCACTACTCTTTGCTAGTGCTGCTTTCATTAACTTTGAAAGCTACAGGAACTATCGTGTGTGTCACTCCACACCCATGGCTGGGTGCATGCACACTCCGGGTGAATGCCCCAGCTGAACGGGGGGGGGGGGAATGAATCAGCTTTTTTATAAAAGCTGGAATGCCCGATTTCTCATTCAAATTTCCGCCACTGTCCAAACTGCTTCACCCGCTGACTCATCGCAGCAATCTCTATTTTGCCGTCAGAGATGCTTACACATCCAGACGCTCAACGGGAAGACTGTCAGACATCTGACTCCAGCATGTGATGAGCACTCCTGTGAAAGACATGCGCGTGCACACACACAGACACACCACATTCTCTCGGTTCTAACCTCACTGAGATAATCAAAACATCCAGAGACAGGATATGCCTTAGTGACAAATTTCGCTACACTCTGCATGTTAATAAATCCTTTCCAAATGGTGCTGAGTCGAGACAAAAAGAGGGTTGTATCTCCTTCTGGAGGGGAACGTGACTCTGAGATGCTGTAAAACAAAACCATAGAAAATAAGTAAATCTCTCTGCACAAAGAATTTCCAAAGTTTGAAGATTCTATATATTTATAAAAGCAAAAGTGAATTCCTGCCAATTTTGGTAGCTTATTTTTCCAAGTTAACTTCTTTAATCATAATGATATAGACAGACATTCCGGTCAAAGAAAAATAAACTGAATAGGAACGAGGCAGATGAGTATAAATGTAAATTTCAGTTTCAAGATTTGTACTTGTAAAATGATAATTAGGCATCCTAAAACTGGGCCTTTAGAAAACGCCCTATAAAATATTATAGAGTAAAGTCGTAGTTCTGGATAGATTTTGGAGCTGCACCATTCCATCACTCATGACTACTCCTTCTGTTAATCTAAAGGAAAGGAGAGGTGCTGGGCTCCTTCAGACCACATGTGGAAGCCGCACCTGATGCCTGGTGAGGGTGGGACCGACAGGAGGTATCTGGGCTCGGGGGACGAGGACGGCTTGGCTAGTATGGACTTGGGCACCGTCACAGAGGTTGCCGCAGGCTTCAGGACGTCTTGTCGAGGTTCCACCGGGTGGGTGCTGTCCAGGTGGGCTGCTGTGGGGACTGCGACTGTGCACGACCCGCTTGGTGCAGTCCTGGGGTCTCGACCGGACACAGTGACCGTGGTGAGCACCCCACCCCCACTGGAGGCTGGGCAGGAGGAGTGGCCTTCCAGGGTGGAGGGCTCAGGGTGGCCATCTCCTGGAGGCACAGGGCAATACTTTCTCTCCAGGTGTGCATGAGACGCACTCTCCAGGTCGGGCTCAGAGGCATTTTCAGGCAGAGTGTCTGGCATCACTTCATCAGCTGAGCTGAGAACCAGGTCGGAGGGAGAAGCGTCACACTTGGATTTTGACTCTTCCTTCTTAGCAGAAGCCGACAACTTTTGTTTTTTCGGAGCTGGTTCGTCTTCTGATGATGGAACCTGACCTGAAAAATTTAAGGAAGGCCTTCGTGAGAGAGTCGAGACATTCAAGGGCACAGCTTGCCCACAAATAGACAATTTCTTGCAAGAATAAAGAAATCAACCCTGTAAAGGTACAGCTAACTTCAACAACTTCAGAAAACCACCCAAGCCTTCTAATTTCTTAAACTTGGGCCAAATACAATTGCCATTAGAAGTATGAATGACTTTAAACAAAAGCTAGTTAAGTCTCATCTCTGAAGTTTCCTCCCCAAACTATGCTCACCTGTACAAATTTTACAGTTCAGATCAAACAGATGTGCCCGGTGCTGGCTCGTTGTGTCCTTCAACATACTGCTGAAGACGTCGAGAAGGGGCGCTGTGCTTTTCTCAGGGGCGGCTCGCACTAACTCTTGCTGTTCCTAAAAGGAAAAGAAACAACAGAGTAGGTCATTTCTTTCCCAATCCACCTCCAAATTCACAGCACGTATGAAAAAACAGCTCATGTGATTAAGAAACACTGAGGGGAAAAAAGGACCACTGAGGGGCTGGCCCGGTGGTGCAGCGGTTAAGTTCGCATGTTCCACTTCAGCGTCCCGGGGTTTGCTGGTTCGGATCCAGGATGCGGACCTATGCACTGCTTGTCAGGCCATGCTGTGGCAGGTGTCCCGCATATAAAGTAGAGGAAGATGGGCACAGATGTTAGCTCAGGGGCAGTCTTCCTCAGCAAAAAGAGGAGGATTCGCGGCAGATGCTGGGTCAGGGCTAATTGCCCTCAAAAAAAAAAAAAAGGCCACTGCATATAAGTTCTTGAGAAATAATGCAACCACACATATTGTGATAAGCGCAGGCACCTAAAAATACTTGGAATGGGCTCAGTCTAGCTGCTTCTGCGACCATGGGGAGCCCGATGCTTACGTCTGAGTCCGACACTGGTGGCGAGTCTTCCATGTCAGGAACCGCCTCCTGCTTTGCAGCAGTCTTCTTACTTTCATTGTGCAGTTTAGGGCGGGGTTCCATCACCTGAGAGGAAAAGACAAACACAAGCCTTAAGCCTTCTTCTCTGCGACTCACTCAGGCCAGCAGTCTGCTAACTCACTTCTGGAGAGCCAAGCAGCCACCTCCCTCTGCACTCACAGGTTTTGTCGGTCTCTCTTTCCACACGGAAAGCTCTTTAGATACAAGTTCTTCCGGCTTCATTCTCACAAGTTTTGCCAAAGAGATTTCTTCACGTAGAACACGATGGAAGAGTCCCTATAAACAAACATGTTTCATTCACTCATGTGCCTGTTTGTAAGACACTAGAGAGGACATGGAAAAAACAGAGCATGAGAAGTCCCTGCCCAGAGGCCTGTGACGGCAGGACAAAGGCCTGAAGCTTCAGATCGGGTGGAGCAGGGCCTGACCTCATCCAGCTCCCCAGCAGCCCGGAGTACAGCCTGGGGGCCCCCACTGAAGAGCAAATGAGCCCAAAAAGCATGGGCACTAAGTTTGGAGAGCTGACCTCAAGGCCTACCCTGCACCGCCTGCGAGGAAGCCCTCCTCAGAGAAAACAGAATCAACCCAAAAAGGCAGTGTTAGGTACAAAGCTAGGAAGTGCCAGGGGGTCAACATGGCGAGGTGGACAGTCAGAGTACTTGACCCTGTTTCTTAACAGAGGTAAGAATTTAAGAGGCTGATGGAGAAGATGCCAGAAGATGGTGACTCCACTGTGCAGAAGCCACACTAGGAAAGCAACTAACCCCTTTTCCAGCCTTAACTCCCGCTGGATCCCACACACAGCTGCTGTGAGGACTAAGTGTCCCACACACCAGGTGTGAACAGCACCTGTCCAAGCGGTGAGCCCGGCAGGGATTGCTATTACTTATCATCAACCTAAGGAAACCCAAGGTAGCAGGCTTGCTCAGCTGATGCGGAATGATGATAAGGCAGAAAAGGTTGTCTGAAGCCCAAATACGGAGATACCCATTTCCTAGGATTAAGAATTTGAACTTTATTCTGGAGCCCATGAAATGAGAGCAATGTAATTTTACAGCCACGCTTAGAAGAGACTAATCTGGTGAAATAAAAGTGGACTTCAGGGAGCCAGAGACCCCCAGGATGCCAGTTAAGAGACGGAAGGGAAGGATAAACACTCTCCACACCAAGAACATGGGGCCCGCAGCAAGTGTCGCAGAGGATAAAAATACCCGTTAGCTTTCACTAGGATATAAATGTTCAAAATGCTGTATTTGGTCCATTATTGTGAAGCTCAGCTAAAAGAAACTAGCTGCAAGTTCACCTCCGTGACAGGAATGTCGTACCTCTGAGCAATCGACACACACCTGGTTTTTGGGATCCTTGAGGTTGAACATGATGCTGCGATATTTACTCTTGTAGCGATTGTCTGTAACTCGGAACAAGTTGAACATCTCCTTCTCGATGTGGAGGGCGATCTTGCCGACCTCGTTTTCTGTCATGATTAAGTCGTCACTGTCACTGACTCTATACGGAATCCAAACAGAACTTGGTAAACCACTGCACCTGCACACATCACACCGCTTACATGGTGGGGCAGTCCAGGATGACCACACTTTAAGTGGAAAACTTTAATAAGCAAATCAAGTAAACAGCTCACCTTTTCCACAAAATCTCCTTCAGGGAGCGTCTTATATTTTGCCGAATTTGCGAATTTGGCTGTGATGGGGCAGGGCTTGAGGTCCCCAGGCGTCCTGGGGCTGTAGAGGCCAAGGGAGCAGAGCTTGCCACCGGCTTCCTGATGGCTCCCACCAAAGCAGCAGAGCCCGGCAACTTTTTAGAAGCTGCTGTGGTAGTGACAGGCGCCAGCCCTGCCTGCTTGGCAGCGGAAACACCGCTGGAGGGGGCGGCCGGGAGCCACGGCCTCTTGGGTATGGTACCCTTGAAGCCTGAGGGCGACTTTTTGATAGCTGATTTGGCTGCCGCCATGTTTGCAAAATGAGGTGGCTTCTTTGGTACTAGATTCCTGGACGAAGGCTGTCGGCTGCCCACCGAAGACCCTGGAGGAGCCATTTTCTTGGGTGCTGCAGCCGCCATGGCTGTGTGCTCCTCCAAGCGTCTGTCCTCCTTCATGGCTGCAAAAGACACGCAGCAGGCTTAGTGAGGCGGGAGGACACACAGGTGTGCTTTGCCGCTGCCTTGAAAAGCACGCACCCCTTAAACTAGCAAAAGCTTACAGCATTACTGGATGAGATTTGGAGAAAAGGATTTTTAAAGTAATTATTAAATTCAGAAATGGAATGTGAATAAAGGCTGATAGCAATATTTATGATAGTGACCATACTTTATTTCAGAAAGAAATGCTTTATTATTTTATTAGATTAAGCCTTTTACTTCAACCAACAAACTTTAGGTATCAAAGGCTTGATTTAAATCATTAGCTAAGCTTGAAAACTGAAGGCAAATTTCAAATCATCAGAAAAAAGGTGTTTGGAAGAGCCCTTTCATTAAGAATTCAAGCACAATGTGTTTGTAAACATGAGTTAAAAAAAATCTTTTCAAGATGGATCAAACAAATTCTCTTTAAATGCATATTCTCTCCCTCCCCCCAGGGCCTTGGAAGGACTACCAAGTCCATTCTTGGGGGGAGGGAGGGCACTCAAAGGTGCTCACCATTCTCTTGGACAAAAGTCAATTGATCATGACGACATTAATAAAAGACAGAAAGCTGAGAGAAATTTGCAACATGGGGAAGTTCAATCACTTTTATACTAAGAGATGACAAGAATACAATATGCTGTTATATAAATGTTCCCACTTACAACCCTCTAGATAGAATAAATTATGGGTAAGATGATACGTTAGTGCTTGTAATCCAAACAAGGATTGTAATCAAAAGCTAAAACAAGAACAATATCAAAACCTCTCAACTCATACAAAAATCGTTATACGATGCTAGTACTTTCTTTACAGAGAGAGACAGCAGGCTAGAGGGCTGATTATGTTCAACCCTGTCACAGACCGTCGGAACAAAGGTCTTCGGCACAAGGACGACAATCCTAAACCAGCACCGCGGCCCCTTGCTCTCCGTGACACGTGGCCAACCAGAGCCACGCCGGGGAGCTGTGCTCAAGTGCAAGTGGCACCTTTACAGATGGTCCTCACTCTGGAATGCCACACAGAATGGCAGGAACCCAGAGAAGTAAATGGCTGGGAAAGGGTAGCCCAGTGAGTGAGCGAGGACACTATGTGGAGTGCCACCTAGGGCAGGCAGTCAAGTCATACAAGGGACAGACAGAGAAATCGCCTCCCTAGGTGCAAGCTTTTCTCAAACTACCCACGCAGCAGGGAGCATCAAAACTCCCAAACACTGAAGTTGGGGACTTAACAGATACTCCAGCAGTCTTTCAATTTTACCCAGGGATTAAAACCAACCAATTGATCAATCATCAGTCAGCTACCAGTGCTCCTTTTAACTGTCCCCAACGACCAAGGAGAAGGTCTGAAAAATCTGGGAAAAGAGGTGAGACTCCATCTACAAATAACGCCTGCCCCAACAAACAGCCCTCCGGAGGCATTCACAGCACCAGGGGCCCCAGCTCAGCCAATACCACCAGCCTTGGCCATCTTGGCAGAGGGTCGGAGCAGTCACCCTCAAGGAACTCCCTCTTTCAGCAGCCAGCGAGGCCAGTTCAGCAACGGGCGCTAAACGGCTGGGGACCTCAAGTTTTTTCCACTTTATAGTATAATTGAAATTACCTAATTTTGTGAAGTTTCATTACATGGATCCAAAACTTATGACAGTGTTAGAAGTGCTTTGTTATTATCAAGCATCAACTCTGACATTAAACCTCATATTTTCATCTCACAAAGCCTCCTAACCTCATGTCCCTGCCCACCCCTGCCCAAGGTGGCCTGTCCCTCGGACACCAGTGCTCCCCCACATTGCCATGCTTCCCAAAGACCACTGTGCTCTCCCAGCGAGCAGCCGGCTTGTACTCTACACCTGCCCTGCTTGTCATCACTCATGTCCACTGTCTCCAACAGTCACACTTCTGAAGGCTTCATTCCTTTAGGAGTTGGGTTTCTAAATAAAGCACACTATAAAGTAATGACAACGTCTAACAAGATAAAAAATAGGGACACAATAGGAACAAAGATAAAAACTACACTTCTACCTGTATTATTTCATCAGATCGAGTTTACAACCTTAAGGAGTTAGACATTTGGAAATTTATTTTTGCCAACTCAGATTTGGGTAACAAGGTCCGCAGCATCGAACCTGTGGGATTGCTCAAGTTCACGTTAAATAAAACGGATGGAAGCCCCTTTTCTTAGGGGAGGGGGCGGGAGTGAGGGAGAGGAAGAAACAAAGATGTAGCACAGCAAGAATCCAGCGCTAGCCGACACCAGGAGTCCGCAGGGAAGCCAGCCATCAGCAGTCAGGAAGGAATGAACTGGTCAGAATTAAAATCGAGACCTAAAGCCAGTTCAGCCGCAGCCTTTCACAAATACAAGCTTTGCTGAGTACCCTAGTAGCACACTTTTAAGTAACTCTAAGAAGCTGGCTTAAAGTGCTTCCAGAGACCTCCTAAGATGCCGGACTGTAACATACAGGATACTTGCGTGACAGAGCCTGAGACAAATCTCACCTTTTGACATTTACGCTGTTAGGTGACAAATTCGTATTAACTTCAAAAACGTTTGCTCACTCCAGGTCCCCAATCAGAACCTAAGATGAGTACTTCTACTGTTCTAAGGGGTGTTTTCTCACTCATTCAGGGAAAACCCAGTCAAGAGATTATTTTTAGGACATTCCTAATACACATGATTAAAATGACCTATTATCCAAGAGTGGTAAGAGTAAATGAATGTAATCTATTAACAAACAGGGCATGGCTTTCCTTAACCATTATGCTGTTTTATAAAATCAATTGCTTCTGCTTTTTTAAAGTCAACTTCTGCTATCCCTTACCTATGCCTCATATAGAAACAGGTATATATTTATAAATGGGTAAATCAGACTATATAAATAGGTATAATTAAGCGAATTATTGGTGAAATGTTCTCAAACAGCAACTTGGCTATGGCCCTCTTCTACTTTGAAGGTAAATATTTACAACATGTAAAAAGTTCTATCCAGCAACTGTTACAGATGCTGATCCAGTTGGTTCCACTGTAAGGGGGACTTGGGTTGGCTGGAATGACAGTGATGGCCATACAGTGCTGGAACGCTCTGACAGTAAAAGAAACTATCATTTTTGAGCAGACCATAATCAAATTTGCAAATCCTTCATTTAAATTCATTTCTAACTGTATCATATTGTGTATAAATTTACAGAAGGGCAAGGACTAACTTTGTAACCAACCAGAAAAAAACGTCCTCAAAAGCAGAAGCACGCTTGCACTCCAGGGTGGCTTCAGGAGACAGCTGATTCCCTCCACTGCTACAGATCCTCTGCTGGTCAGCAACAGCACTGTGCTGGCAGCACCAAGCAGAGTTAACTGCAGTGTGGACACAGGCACAATGCCCAAACCCCACCCATATCTGCCTACGTCCTGGATGGAGCCGGCCCACCGGGAACGTGTGCCAAGTCTGTGCCATTCTGGCAGCAAAGCTTTCTTGAGCTTCCACATCCTGGGGGCCTGCTTGTCAGGGAGGAAGAGCGCTGCCTCATTTCCAGGCCAGGTGATGACTTAGGGAGAAACTATCTCCAGGAGAAGCTGCTCCAGTGGGCCAGCCCAGTGTCCTAGATAGTTGTTTCTGAGAGTCTGGCCATTTGTCTGTAATGGAAATGAGTTGTTTGGGGTAAAGGCTGGCAGAGAACTAAGCAGGCCAGCGTGCACAGGGATCAGTGCCATTCTAATTGGCTAATTTCCCAAGCGTAAGACTGGGTGCCTCGTCACACTGCAATGTGGGCTGTGGTGTTACAGCATCGCTGGCCACTGGGTGGCACTGGAGGGCCTCCATGGAGAACTGGGAGGAAACAAGTCTCCACCAGAGGAATTGTGGTGCTGTGTTCATCTGGATAGAAGCTGCACAGCTGCCCAAATGAAGTTACAGCAGGACAGGGTGTAGACACGGGGCGCTTTATCAAGCCTGAACAACCCCAGGCTGTCCCAGATACCCACATCTAGTGACGGCCCCCTCACAGGTACAGTGACTGGTGAGAAACCAGAGGAATTGCAAATTGCTTTATACCTTTTGTCTTGCCCAAACTATGTGCCAGTTTACCCTAAACATCCCCAGATAAAAGACTTCCAGTCATACTGATGGCTGGGGTGGGCCCACTGCTTAAGAATGACTGGCTGTAAAAGCCAAGGAAATCAAAAAGTGAGCTTCTGGCATGACAATGAGTGGGTCAGAAACAGTGGCCTCTTCCGCAGGTGCACCACATGGCGCAGGGAAGTATCCTGCAGGTCCCAGGCCAGAGTGACCGCAGGCCTTTGCACAGGTGTCCCCTCCCTGGAACTACCCACTGACTCAGGACCCAGCATCCTGCTTCACACCATCGGTGACCTCCAAGCACCACCCACTCCCACTGGCTCCCAAATATGCTCCGCAGGAAAGCGAAGGCAGCTATCGCTGTAGGGACCGTCTGTAACAGGAACTGAAAATGAGGGCAGGGAAGACACTGTAGAGGAGCTGTGGAAGTGACAGAAGCTCTATTTTCAACTCCGCATGACATGTGTACAATGAGGCTTCCCACCTCAACTTTCTTAACTGTGTGAAAAATCAAGTTAACAGTAGCAGAGAAAACCATTTTGCTTTTGTGCCTTTTCTTAAATATTCTGAGTTGTTCCTCTAGAAGTACAATAAAGAACTGATTTGCTTTTACATCAGAAAACATGGATAATTCCCAAATAACCTCAAGTAAGCATAAGCTACTTCCCTGATGCTCTAGGACATTAGGATGTCCTTAGATGCGTCCATAACCAAACTGTCACGGTTTGGCTACGTCAAGCTTTTCCAGGAAGACTTTGTTCTCACTCATGTCCAGTTTGAGTGACCTAACGGAGAGGTGCATGTAGCTCGCTGTGAGAAATTGGCAGAAACAAGGATACATCTGGAGGCCGTTGCCCTTCCTCCTTTTAACAGTATCACACGCAGTATTTTGAAAGTTAACCCAAGGCCTGATTCACATTGGATTGCTAATATGTAATAGCACTGCTCAAACTGTCCTTCAACATGAACCATGAGAGGGAACTGTGAGCAAGGCCTTGTGGGGAGACGGGCACTTTACCCTCCCTGAGCCCTGCTGGAACCCTGGCGAGCGGTCAGCTGTGCAGTGCGCGAGCCTGGCTGCCAGACCGGATCCACCTGGGAGGGCAGCTGCTGCTTTCCCAAGACCTCGAAACCAGTTTGCAGGCCCACCCATCCCTTTAATAAGGTAACAACATCATTTGTTGGTGCCCCGACTGCTTACTCCAGCCAACACGCTAGGGGCACGTTAAGAGTCCCTCTACCCTCCCCCGTGAGCCCCTAGTCCCAAAGGGTCGCTGTCAGCAGGAGCCCTGGGCTGGGCACTGTGCCCACACGGCCGGGCTGTGCAGCACGGTTACCTTTGTGTCCTTCTCGCTGAACTCCTCCAGGCTCCCAGGAACGAAAGCTGCCCAAACTTTCATTTAAATAAATGAAAGTGGCAAAACTTCTCAACAGTCTTCTAAGTTTACTTCTTTAATTTTCAGAAGAATGTAACTGTGTGCATGGTGATGTGTAACACACAAAAAATCAAGAATATTAAGTATTTTACAACTTTATACAAATATACCTGAAACTTGTGTACTGGTATTGGAGAATTACAGCAGCCTCTTCAGAGGGGACCTTGGGATCTTTGACACCAATAATGCCACCAGAGACTTCCCTATAGTACTAGTCATTAAACATTATCGAGTAGTTCCACAGCTCCAAAAGGTCATGTGAAGGTCACCGAAGAGCAGATGAAGTAAGGGGGACACCCTACTAGAAACTTCCAGCCCACCCCTCCTCCCGGGGGGCTGAAGCACAAGAACTAAGGGGTGGCCCAGAGCACTGCTGAGGGGTTTCGTCTCCAATGTTAAAGTTTATGTACACGTGGAAACCTTTCCCTGACCTAGTTTTCTGAACTGCTGGCTTTTTTTCAAGCTTGTAAAAAGTAAAACACTTAAGAATACCCAAAGACTGCCACTGCCAACCCAGGAAACTCCAGCTGTACGGACAACAGTAAAAGTAGTTATCAAGCCAAATCCCTTTTCAGGACAAGTTTTGGTTGTTCCACTAACTGGGGGAAGAAAACTGGTTTGGATGTACAGTCTGGTTTGTCCCCAACCACATTTTATTGCCATGACAATTCTGGAAGAGACAGATAAAAATGGCTCATGAAACTGATAAAAACATGACTCGCCCTCCAAGGCTTTAAATTTCTCCCAAATATTCTTGGGTTCTAGCATCCCCCACATATTTAATTTTATTATGGGAAACTTGTTTCCTCTTATCATTTGTGAAATGTGCTTTGGGAGCCCACACCATCAGTTATCCTTGTGAGAATCTGTGTTCTCTTTGATCCATTTCACCACAGCACGTGGACTATCTGCGAGGCATGCACATGAACTACAGGGCAAATTTTGTATCTGAGTAAGATGCTTAAAAAATCACCTGGACTTGGGATTATGGGTCCTGTCAGAGTTTTCCATTTGAATTTTCATGGCTAGATGAAAACTAGAGAAATCTCATTTTCTAGTCAAAATTCATTCAAATCCCCAGTGTTTCAAATCACCTAACAAGCCATTTAGGGAGTCCACAATACTAGGAAACTGGGCCTATCAATACGGATAGCAGAATTCGACTTCTAAATTCTGTCTAATAAACCAGGATGTTTTAGAACAAAGTTTTTACCCTTCTTCATGCCTTGACAATAATGAGAGGTGAACCAACAGTGGAAATGAAGAGAAAAATAAGAATCAGGCTACAAAAACAGAGAAATATCATGATTTTGGGAGAGAAATAAAATGGCAATTGTTTCCATAAGTTAAAAAAATTGTACAGATATCCTCAAAAACAATTTTAAAAACAAATCAGAGGAACAACTGTATGTTATTTGCATCAGCCTGAGAACAAGAAAGATCTACTCATACTTTCATGGGGAGAAGCAGGGAGGAGCTTCCATACCCAGCAAAGTCTTGCCCAACATTTAACAGGAGCTCCCCACCACTGACATTCACTGAAAAGTTGTCCCTGTACCCGTTACCCCAGGTCAGCACCAGTGGCCTGGGAAGGAGAGGGAAGAGCGCCTCCAGGAGCAGCGTGTCGGCTCTTTAAACAAGGGGCACAAGGAGCTGAAGGGATAGGCCCAGACTGGATACACACCCAGGTTAACGTGGAAAACGCCTTCTCCTAAGAACTGTGCCAGCATCAGCTGCATCCTGAATCTCATCGCCCTCCACGAGGAAAAGCATGCTGGCAGCCAGCCAGGGAAGCAGGTGGGGGTCCTCGTGGGGATGCGGAGCTCTGGTGAGTGGATGTGGTGCTCTGTTCCCACACCTGAGGCGATGGTGTGGGAGAGGTGGGGAGACGGTGCCACCCCCAAGGCAAAAGCGGATATTCTACCAATGGCCTTTTACCCTTCTCCCAATCATCTTCTGGAAAGATGACATTCTGGATAACAAAAAATGATCAGAAGCAACTCACTCAAAAATACGTCCCTTAAACATGCTACAAATCTGGGGCACCCATCAGTTTTGATTTTGAGATGCAAACGTGCTGGGAAGAGTCCTCAGTCATGAGTCCGCTCCGACCTTCTGCCCACGGAAGCACGTCAAGCTTCAGCAAGGAGCTGTGGCGCAGAAAGAGGGAAGCGGTGGAGAGGAGAAGCCCCAACCTGTGAGCAGACACGGGCCTTCTCAGGATCTCTCCCCGCAGTTCCCTCTCCTCCCTCAAAACTGGGGTGAGGAGGACTAAGAATCAAGGATGAGCGCCATTCTTCCCATCTTCCCACCAACCTTCCACCCCTTATGCGCCCACAGCTCCACACTCAGGGTCTCAGGGCAGCTTTCCAGTTCCGGTTAATAGAGATGGAAATTACTGGACTGAAATCCATCACCCAGGGGTTTTGTGGTTATACCCCGGCCTTCCTTCTTTTTCTGTTATGTGCCTGTAAGAGCACTTTAGCTCTAAGTATTCCAATGCGACTCCTCCCCACCTGTTCACACGTGGGTGAGGCTTATTTTAGAGATGTTCATGACCTCTATAAAAGTGCTACTTTGTAGAGGTGCTGTAATTTCCTGAAAATTTGAGACACGTTGTTAGCATGAAATTCTTAGCTCAAACCATCTAAGGTGTATCGAGACTCATTTTAATACACCATTTAATTCTGTATTTAACAACTCATTCCTAAAATTAAAAAATAAAAAAATCCAGTATTGCTTTGCAATTTACTTGCAACTCCATTTCTTAGGTCTTGGGCTGTTTACGTTCCCAAAATGAGTATTCAGTTACCCGTTTTTCCAACCACACTCGATCCAGAACCCACCTACACAAGCCCCCTCCCTCGGGTGACCGGTCAGAAGGCGACTGAAGGGAGAACACAGCACAGCTCTGTAATCCGGGGAGTGAGAACCGGTCAACCTTTCGGTGCTTTTGAAAAAGGCACAAAACAGTATAAAAGACAGTATAAATAAAAGCTGAATAAAAAATAATAATAGAAGAAGTGCCCTGTGGATCAATTGAAATTTCCAAAATTTAATTCTGGGGAGTTAGAGTGAGAAATTAGAATAAACAGAAGAGACTCAAGCTGCATGATCTAACCTGGGATTTCAAAGATCTGTTTGAAACGTCTTGATTTCATTCACTAGCACTGTGGGGCACGGTGTGAGCCAAGAGCCCCAAGAGGGATGCCAGTTACCCTTGGCCATGTCCCTCCAGTGAGGGCACTGCTCAAAGTGTATACACATCACACTCACTTACCTTGGAACCGAGGTGGCAGCAGGAAATGGCCTTCAAAACACCAATGTGTTTGTGTAGGTGTGTAGTATGTGAATTGGACGTGAAAAAAAATTCCTGTCTGGTCAAAAATAATTTAACTCCTGAAAATCCTACTTAAGGTGAGTATTAGATGCAACACAAGTTTGCAGAAACAGACTTCCACAACATACAGAAGAAGTGATGACTGCGTGTGCTGGAAGTGATAATGTGGAAAAGCCCTGAAGCGAGTGGGGCTGCAGAAAACTGCGAGTGAGGCTGGGACATGGCATCCTGAGTGCTAGGCAGTGTGTCTACTCAGTCAGATCTTGTTGGAGAGAACACAAACACTTACCAGAGCCTGACAATGAGAACAGAGATTAAAGACATCAATCGTCAGGTGACACATTCAGCAATGAGGTTTGTACAGCTTTTTGGAAAACACTGACAGGAAGTCTCAACAGACTAAGGATGGGTACAGGGGCTCGAGAGGCATCTTGGACTCAGGCATTTGCTTCGATCTTTGGAGGTGCAGCACTGCACACGGCTAAACTCCTAGGTCTGGACGGCCCAAGTGGACGGCCATCCAGAAAGACTGGGGAGGGTCCAGAGGCTACCCCCTAGGTGATACATACATTTATACAACAGTGATGGCCAGGGGGCAGCAGTCTGTTCTGGCTTCACTGCATTGTAATTGTGGTCGCTTGCCCAGGACGGCGTGCTGCTTTCACAAGTTGTTTCCTTAATAAGGACCTCACTCCTAGAAGGGGCCACCATCGCCTTCTTCACGGTGTTTTCTTTCTTGTCTGGAGCTGGTCTCTTGTGCACAGAAGAGATTTTAATGCCTGCCTGGATAATCAGTAAAACCCCAATCATTAAGGAGGTCAGAAATTAACCTTCGCTCATTTCACTTTGCAATGGAGGTCACGACACGCTCTATTCCTGAGGTCATTTCAAGCCCCCTCACCACCCTGAGCTTGTGCACTGCATCAGGTCAGCAGCAGGCTTCGGCTACACCTGCACACCCAGCAGACCCTCAGCATTCCAACGTAATATCCAGGACTTCAACACTTGAGCACTGTGAAGGTCCCTGACACAGAGGAACCTGTAACCCTGCTGAGGTACAAGGCTGCTGGGGTAAGAGAATGAACCACTTGAGTGAGGCAGTGAAACACGGCAAAAACAAAGTGGAAAGGGCCTCAGTGCGAGAATGCGCCCTACGAACACTGCTTGGCGCGAGGAGCGACACTTGGAGAAGAGACGGAGTACAAACGCCGTTTCCATGTTCTCCATCAGGTGCTCCCAGTGCTGTCATGCTCTTACGGTAAAGAGCAGCAACTGCTTCTCTGGCAGTTCTATGATTCAAAATTACCAGCCTTAAAAATTAAGCCATCGAAGGCTAAATAAGCCCTTAAAAATATTAAGAAAACTCTCTGAATAGCACTAGTTACGCTTTGTTTCTCATGAATTTAACAGGGACCAGAACGCAGCTGCATCAACCTGAGCTAAAACTCAATGAAGGGTCTTCAAGTGTATCAGTGCCTGTGATTTCTAAAACCACCTGGATTCTTCCCAAATCACATGTAGTATAAAAATGAGACAATTCTGAGAGCTAGGTCTTGAAGTGCAGCACACAGCCTTGCCTAGGAGCGCTCTCCCTTCCCGGCCCCCACCTGCCCGAGTCTACTTCCACACCAAACTCTCCTCACAGGACTGCAGGCGCATGGACCGCAGGCGCATGGACTGCAGGCTAGCAGCCCTGCAGCAGCGAGCCGCCTGGGTCTGCTTCACTGCATTCAGTCACTCATCCCTCAGCTAAAGGGCAGAGAAAAGAAAACGTCAGAATATATGCTCATCTGTAATTCTGACGAGAATGCTGGTGGGAAAGGTGGAGGACACTGTGCGTTGCTTCTGTGCCTGCTGTCCCCACACTCCACAAACCAATCAGCCAAGACGGTAACATTTACACACTTTTTGCTTCAACTGTTCAAACAGTTGGTCTTGTGCAACTTACCTGAACACTACATTTTGGAAGAATGAGCTTTTCTGGCTTCGTCTTGGTCTTTTCTTTAGGTTTTGGTTTTTGTTCTTTACCTGAATTTAGAAATTTCATGGTAGCTGCAGCATGTTTTAGAATGCAGTCATTGCTGCAGTAAACCGAGTCAGGCTGCGCCACGCTAGAACACCCAGGGCCAATACACTTTGAGGCACCAGGAGGCTCTACAACCTGCAGAATAAAACATGTGACTTCAAACAACGGACTTACCAATTCTAGCAGTTAAAATACTTTGTAAAAATCACTACTTATAATACTGAGATCACTGTTTTTAATCAAGAGACACTAACAATATTCTTAGTATAAATAAAAATGTGTCTTTGTTTATTCAAAGTACAGGAATCTATTTCCCCTGTGTAAGGCGCACACATTCTTAACTGCCCTTCACGCCATCTGTGGTGGCAGAACTCTAAGAGGACCCGAGGACACTGCCCCTGGCGCACACGATGGGATTTCACATCCACAATTAGGTTGTTATACGGCAAATGGGCAGGGATTTTGGAGATGTAATTAAGGTCCCAAACAAGATGATTGCTAGTTAATCAAAAGGGTCTGAGTTAATCAGGTGTAAACCCTTAAGAGGGCCCAGGCATTTCAGAGGAGAGGAGACTCCATTGCTAGTTTTGAAGAAACAAGTGGCCCTGCTATGAGAGGGCACTGCAGCCAGGCTCTGAGGTACAGCTGCCAGGTAAAATCCAGGACACTCAATTAAATATGACTCTCAGATAAACAACAAGTAACTTTTTAGTATAAGTATGCCACAAAAATTGCATGGGACATATTTATATACCAAGCCATGTGAGAGCTTGCTTTTGGAAGTGGATCTTTCCCAGCTGAGCCTCTGATGAGCTCTTCAGCCCCCACTGACACCTGGGGTGCAGTCTGTAAGAGCCCGGGCAGAGGGCTCAGCTAAGCCAGGCCCAGGTTTCTGACCCATGGAAACTGAGCTGGTAAATGTGTGATGTTTTAAGCTTCTAAGCTTATGGTAATTTGCCCTACAACAACAGGAATCATTTATATACCACAAGTCTAGGTTGCTCTTGTTTACAAATACTAAAGTATGTTTTGGTGGTCAAGACAAAATATACAAGAACATATCCCTCAAATGTACCTGAGCAAAATCTTATTTCTCAAATTAAATATTTAAGATAATTGTTTTTCCTCCATAGAATCCAAGTTTTACTCAGAATAAAATTTAAGCTTATGTAATCTCAAAAACATTGACAATAAAGATATGAAATTAAGACTTTTCACATTAATTTACATTTCCATTAACTTTTCTTAATGACTAAATGGGCCATTAACAGTTACTATCACATTTCCGCTTAGTAACTCCTAATACCTCCATGATAGACGTACTTAAATGGCCCAGCCCTCACGGCCCTTTCCCCTCGCAGCAGACAGTGCAGGGTGCTACGGCACAGCTGCTTTCCGACGCAGCCACCTCAGTCTTCTGCAGGCCCAATAGCTGCTAAAGGGCAGGCAGCCGGGCTGGCCAGGAAGCTGCCCTCTCCACCAACCCAGCTGACGGCAATAGGGGCAGGACCCCACTTCAAGGCTGGCTAGGGCCTCGGGAAGGCCCAGAGTGAAAACATGGTCTGGGTAGGACCATCATGAGTGCCTGAGACGGTTCTCCTCAACAACAGAAGCTGAGGACACGTGGAAAACATGACCAAGAACTGTGGCCCTGAAGGGGCCTAAAAACCAGTTGGGAAGGAGAAATGAGTAAGAGCTGGGAAAAGAGAAAAAAGAGCTGGGACAAGCACTAGTGAGTGTCTGGGACTATTCCAGAGGGTCGTGTAGCAGATGTGAGAGGAGCCTCAGACACCGGGGCAGAGTTCCCTGGCCAAGGCTGTTCCACCACCACTCAGTGTCTCAGGGAGGCAGGCACAGGACCACTAGTTCTCAGAACATGGTGTCAGGTGATATATGTGCACATTTACTTCAGTAATTCAAAAATAACTTTGTTCATAACTGTACATCAAGATCAAGATTCCATTAATAAGAAAACTTAAGGAGGTGTCAGCCCTGTGGCCGAGTGGTTAAGTTCGTGCTCTCTGCTTCGGCGGCCCAGGGTTTCATCAGTTCGGATCCTGAGTGTGGACATGGCACCGCTCATCAAGCCATGCTGAGGCGGCATCCCACACGCCACAACTAAAAATATACAACTATGTACCGGGGGGCTTTGGGGACAAAAAGGAAAAATAAAATATTAAAAAAAACCAAACAAACTTAAGGAAAGACTAATTTTCAAAAAGTGAGTCCATTTAAGGAAAAAGTTAAGTCAGCACTAATAGTACAGGAGATAGATATGTTCCCCGATGGTGGCACACAGGAGGGCCGGTGAAGCAGAGCACAGGACTGTTTTTCCACCAGGGCTCAGCCCCACAGCAGACACCACGCCAGCTGCAGGGAACACCTAACTTGTTCTACAAGAGAAAACATCTTCTAGTCTTCACGTTTCTGTTGATAAGGAGTCTGAGCTCTCTAAGGTCACCCTCCACCACCGACCTTGGCAGACAAGTACTTACAGGCTGGAATATCTTGAGTTTTTTCTTGCCGCTTGGGTTTGCAGCTTTCTCAATTCTACCCTTTATTCCTTGGTCTTCGCTACATTTCTGCTCTACTGTTCCTATACTGGTAAAGTCTGTGCCATCAGCATCTGCAGGTCTAACTCTCGTGTCCTGCTGACCTGCGGTTTCTGTGCTGGTCTCATCCTGCACTTGCAGAATGGTGCAGTTTGGGCAGATGTAATCTTCCCCGTTCCTTTCCAAGAGCCTCCCTCGAGCCTCAGAAATGCCCACACAGTCTCCATGAAACCATTCTTCACATCGGTCACAGCAAATCATAAACCTGAAATTACAAAATCATGGTATACTATGAATGCAAAGCAGAGATAACACTCAATTTTAGACATACTAGCAAGTCAAAGTGGTTTCAATGCTGTATTAAAGTAGAGAGAACAGAATAAAGAACACTCATAGGTCTTCTCTTGATTTTATTAACCTTCAACCAGATTTGCTTCATATTTTTTGGCGAGTGGAGACTTAGTGAACTGTAGGCTTCATGGCATCGCTCCCTGGACACTTCAGCACTCACCTCCACAAAACGGCAACAAGGCCTTTATCCCACCTGACGGAACCAACAGTGATTCCTCACACTACCTGATACCTTATCAGAGCCAGAGGCTCTTGAGATGCCCTCAATGTCCAAACTATGGTCCAATCACAGCTGCAAGTGGGCATTACGCTAGGACAGTCTAGAGCAGCAAGTCTCTGAGACGGCAGCAATGTCCTAGTCTGAGCTGCCTTGCATGCTCACCTTAATGCCCATGCTCAGCCTTGCATGCTCACCACTGGCTGCGTGTGGCTAGTGTGATAAGGCAGTGAACGGCCCTGTGGACAGAGGCCACCAAGGGAGAGTGTGTGGCTCCAGGCAGTCCTTACCCACTCCTTCTGTTTCTTTTTTGACAATGACTTACTCATTTTTTTCAACAAAAGTTACTCATTCAGCACAGCTTTAGAACTCTTTAAATCAAATGAATGGAAAACTCTGCTGTTTCCATTACTTGTATCTCTCTCAAAGTGGGGTGGCCAACACCCCCTCTCCCCAACCTACCTGTTGTTGTGGGGCTGACGACACATGCAGTACAGGGCGTTGGGGTCGTAAACCTCACACTCGGGCTTGTGTCTGACCGAGGCTCCAGGTTCTTCATCTTTCATTCCCTGAGCTGCTTTCCCTTCCAACTGACTCTCTCTATCGTCCTTCGCCCCCTGGGACACGGGCCCCTGGGCAGCCTCGGGCTCCTGTGTGCCAGAAAGTGAGCTTCCCGCGGCATCGCCTGCCTCCACGTCCACAATTTCCGCAGGATCCTCCTCCTGACGCTTCTTCCTCAGGCGATTCTGGATACCCTTCAGGGGCCTGCTGGCAGGCTCTTGTTCTCGCTTTCTTCGTAGGCGATTCTGAAGTTCTTTCAAAGTCAATCCATCACTGTCGCTATCAGAGGTGTCGTCCTCATCATCACCTCCTTTGGCCTTTGCAGAGGAGGCTGGTCGTTCCTTAACACCCCTGGAGCCAGACTTGGACCCACTTTTCATTTCAGAGGTGCTTTCTACGCTCCCTTCAGAGGCTGTTTCCACATCTGTAACTGGACAAGATGTTGGCTCACTGGAGTCCTCAAGGGAGACAGGAACATTCTTCCTTCCTCTGCGTCGGACTGTTGTGAGAAATTCTTCCACTCTCTCAGTCCGCTTTGGCTGTCTCCCACTGCGTCGCAGGGAAAGGCTTTGTTGTTGCTGCCGGGGCTGCTGCTCCAGAGAGTCCAGCTCTGCGTCCCCAGCGCCCTCCCGCTTAGCAATGGTGGTCCTTCGAAAACCCCATGTTTTCCTGAACTCTTTACTGGTGGGTTTGATGGCCTTGGGTGCGTCCTCATTGCTCGGGTCACCTTTCTCATCCATACCTAATGGTGAAACGCAACCAAACCACAACCAGTGTTAATGAGGTCACATTTCTTAGCCAATGACCACTAAACCCCTGAGCTCAAAGAGCAGACAACCTTTAATCGCACATGAGAGGGAGCACCACCCACAGGAACGGACGCTCATGAACACGGATGAAATGGAACAATTTTCTACCTACAAAAAGTGAAGATGTCTGGTAAAGCAAGTTATTTTGACCAGTGTTTCCTAAAATGTGATATATAAGGTGATTCAAAGTGATTCTTGAAGATTTTAATAGTTATATGTCTAATGTTTAATAGAACAAGACAGTAAGCATATCAAATCTATAATTATGTCATTTAACTGCTTGGAACAGGGTACCTGTCTCATAAAACAGGTAGTGGGGAAAACATTAATGAGTAACAATATAAGTGGTGCAAGGACTGACTGGAACAGTGTTAGTGTAGTGGATGAGAGGTGGCTGTGGGCTCTCTGGCCCTCTCAAGTGGAGACACGGGGCCCATCTGCCTCCCTGTGAGTTGGGATCACTGTGCACACAGAGCACAGTGGACAGAATGCTGTGCCAGTTCCCAGCTTAGCATGTAAGAGGACTGGCTGCTTCTCTCCTGGGTTGTGAAGCCCTGAGCTGCCACGTAAGAAGTCCGACACCCTGCTGGAGAGATCACGTGGGAGTGGGTGTTATGTTGGACCCTGCATTCAGCCCTGCTTGTGGGCTGAGTGCCAGGTGATCCCTGTGGACACCTTGTGGAGATAAGGATCACCCAGCTGAGTCCTGCTCAGCTTCCTGAGCCTCGACCAAGGATACAAAATGGGCGTTACTGGAGTCCGCTGGGTTCTGGGGTAGCTGTTATGCAGCAACAGATAACTGGGACACTCAGGAAACACCGACCTAGGCAACAGCTTTGATGTGTACTACTTCTTTCCAATAGATCATTAAAAGGTCATGTTTGTGAAAACTTTACTCTTATTTAAAACCTCAAAAAATTACTATATACCTTGAGAAATTTTTTTCCAAGCTGTCCAGGCTTCAATCACATTTAACTGCTAATAACGACTCAGATTTTATGCCGTGTTCCATCCTGGGGGAAGGACTGGTATAGAATGAAAACATTCAAAATATAAAATACACAAAATCGGAATCACATACAACCTAATTCTTTTTTCTGCTTCCTACTAAGTGTTGTCACTTCCCATTTCCCTGGTCCAGCACCGCAGATCCTGAATCCTTCACTCTCTAACTTGGCCCACATGCTCACAGGCCACTCAGAAGCCTAGCGGGAGTGGCTGTGGCATCAGGTGTGCCACCAAGGACCAGACCACTTTTCTGGTCACCTGAGATTTTCTGCAGGAAGAACTCTTCTCTACAAAATACAGTTCTAACCAAAGAGAGAATATACAATGTCAATGTATATGCACTAATATATAACCAGTGTAAAAATAAAGGGACACTCCAAAGCAAATTCTTAACACATGATTAAACGTTCATCTAAAAACCTTAGGGCTAAAGTTTGGATTATTTCAAACAAATATGAATGTTATATTGTATCAGTTTCTTTACATATAATGCTACTTTAGCAGTAACACATGATTTCAAATCTAAGTTAAAATTCTGTTGATGTTTAACACCACTGATACTTTACCTGCCCCAACACTGAAAGCCTGGCCACTTGTTCTGGATGTCCTAAATACCATAAAAACCTGGCCAATACAATCACTTGGTCCAAGTAAACAGCCAGGCCTCAAAACACTGCTGCTGTCAGTCACTGCTCACAAATAACAATGTAGATTATCTTGAGAATGTTCCCAGGAAGTGGGCTCCTAAAATAAAATAAGAAAACAGTTTATAGATCTTAAGTACAACCAAAACTACATTTAAAAAAAAAGGGCACCAAACTTCCCAAGTAATCTATTATTTGAGGGTACATTACGTGACCTACAAAGACATTCAGGGAGTCAAAAAAAAAAAAAAAAGCACAAAACACGGTCCCCTTCCTTAAGGACTTCTAAAGAAGGGAAGATACTATGACCACTGATCAAATGGGAGAACAGGCCTGGGAGGGAGCAGCAAGCCTTGGCTGGCACCCTGGGGCAGCAGGGGGAGCTGGTGCTCAGACTGCAGAGGCCTCAGTGGGGAGGAGGGTCTCAAAGTCAGCAAATGGGTATCAGCTGCTTTCCAATTAGGATCCTTTACTTTTGAGATGGACCCAGCTCAATAAAACCCAACGCTTGAAAGAAACACCAACAAAACGTGAAAAGGCTGAACAACAAAATTATTACGAATGCAATTACTTAAAAATCCTTAATATTGTAGCTATGCCATCACTTTAGATTAAAACCTAAGAAAGATTTTAGAAGACTAATGTTTATGATTACTGAATATCAACATGGTATAGTTCATCCATGTGTATTTAAAAAACACGTCCCCTCCTATAGCCTCTTTCAAACAGCCACGCCTAGTTTACAGGCTCACTAACCATGCCTGTGTTCCTAGATAAGTCCTCAATTTTATTCTCTTAACACATTTCCATTCTAGCCCCAAATCCCACTCCCCTGAGCTGAGCATGAATCTGGCACCTCACCTCTTCCTCGCCTCACTCCAACTGCCTTCCCTGTAACCAAGGTCTCCTTAGTGACCTCAGAACAAAGACAAACATTCTGAGGCACCTCCTTTTAAAGAGACAGTGGCCACTTCACCCTGATTAGCCAAATCTGTAATCACGGCCATCACATCTCTTGAATGTGGTAAACCTATCTGAAAATGAGGCTTCACAGTCCAGAAACTTTACTTCTCAGAAGAAATGGTAAATAAACCATACTTCTATATTCCACAACACTGAGCATTTATAAATTAAGCAAAGAAATGAAGATGCTTTCAGGAATGAAAATTTTTTTTTTTTAAAGATTTTATTTTTTTCCTTTTTCTCACCAAAGCCCCCCGGTATACAGTTGTATATTCTTTGTTGTGGGTCCTTCTAGTTGTGGCATGTGGGACACTGCCTCAGCATGGTTTGATGAGCAGTGCCATGTCTGCGCCCAGGATTCAAACCAATGAAACACTGGGCCGCCAGCAGCGGAGTGCGCGAACTTAACCACTTGGCCAGGGCCAGCCCCGAAAAAATTTTTTTGAATTTATGTTAATCCGAAAATAAACATACTTCAGGATTTTATTTTAGCTCTGAATAATTAATCAGAAAAGGAAAATCTAGTTATTTCTGCTAAGTGGAATGGGATAAAGTACATATTCAGAATAGATCATTTTAGATAATTTGGTTCATTTACCTTGACTTTCTATTTGCAAAACTGATTTTTCATAATTATCTTCAACACAGAAATTCTAATATAAAATTTCAGCTGAAACAAAAACATGTATATCAAAAGAAAAAACAAAACCAACTATTTATAATCACGGCAAAAGTAAAGGAAAAATTGTGTTATGTTTCTAACACAACCCAGGTTTGGCGTGTAAATTCTACACTACAGCACCTCACATGAGGAACATGGTCATAAAACCATGATCACGTCATATTAGTAACAATTTTTCCCAGAAAAGAAGGTGTGCATCTCTGAAGCTGGGAGAGTCAATACCATAGGTGAACAGCAAGCGGACTGAAATAATTTAATTATCTTTCTACATCTGTAAGTGGACATATTTTCTCAGCTAAAACCTGCTCCATTTCCTATGCTATGAAATCTTAGGTTTAAAAATATAAATACAAGCCAACATTTCACAACTGCTCTGTTAACAACAGAGTCTGTGAGGTGACCCAGGGCACAACCAAATGGCTGAAAAGTGATCAAGAAGAGGACACACGGGCCCCTCCCGAGTTCTTGAAGGCAGCTCTCAGAGCCCGTTTACACTAAGAAGTCGAGGACCTCAAACAGTTTTTGTTTATGTAGAATATATAAAAATTTCCAAAATTCAAACTGAGAAAAATTTTCAGGTAATTGGGGATGTTCTTTGATACCACATCAAACCTCAGCAAGTAGTAGTTTCATAAAACTTAGTTGCAGCATGGAATCTGAACCGTATCAAGGAACTTTCCACACTTTCTTACATGATAATCCACGGGCCTGCTTGCACTGTGAATGCATCTCTCACCCCAGCACGTGCTGGTCACCTGGAAAACCCGGGTTCACGGACGTCTGCAGAGCCACGTGTCCACACACTTCATTAACGTACAGACGACACGCCTGTAACATCAGCACCCGTCTCCCCAAACATCTTTAATTACTGGGAAGGCATTAAGCTCACAATGGCAGATATAAGCTTTCCAAAATTCTACTCTTTGATTGAAAGCTCAAATTTTATCATTAGCAACAAATACTGTCAGTTGCTTTCCTCAAGACTCAGCTCATTCATCTTCGAGAAAATGCCTCCCAAAAACCAAGTCTGAAAACTGTAGCCCTCAGTTCTTTCACGTACAAATGGTGCTCCATGAAAAGGGGGCTGGACTCCACTCCTGAGGGCTCCTCCTGGAGACAGCCATCCAGCTCTGGGGTGCGGCAGGAGTGTTTTATGTGTGCCTGCCATTTCACCACAGGAAAGGCTAAAAAGAGGTCTGCTGGAGGGATGAGATTTAACGAAACCAATTATCTTTACTGCCTCAGCAAGGACATTCTTAAGGGAAGCCGGCACATTCTAACACTGACTGCACGGGGCGCACGCACACTTCATGCCACTGTCCTAATCTGCTTCCTTCTGTACCACCAGGGCCAACTATTACTGTGGAAAGAGTTCTGCCCTCTTTGTCCCCAAGAGGGGTTTGGGGACCCCGAGGGGTCCATGGAACACACTACGAGAACTTCTGTAACATGCCATTTCTATTAGTTTAAGAACACATTGGATATACGCAAAGCAATAATACCTATCTATTTTTCCTACCAGAAGAGACTAAAATTTCCTTCCGGACAAAACTGTTCTACAAAAATTCTAAAGCAACTAAATTTTCCCTTCAGATTCTCCAACTCTTCAAAATGTTAAACTGTCAAAAGAGAATTTGTTAAACACAAAACCACAAATACCCTCCCAAAATGTTATGCATTACTTAAAAAAAAAAACCCAAACTACTATAAATGTTAGTGACGCACGACTCCACAACCACTGCCAATCTGAAGGCTCAACCTCCCGAGTGTGCTCAAGGCAGTGACTGCAGAGAGCCGTCGACAGCTGTTCGTTCTACAAACTTAGGAGACTAACTTCTCTAAGACACTTCAAAGTACGACGACAACCACAGTGAAGCTCCTGCTTCCGCAGCACGCCGCCGTGGAAGACAGCTGGGGCTTCTCAGGACACCGCACCAGCGCACGTGCCCCACCTGGCGGCCAAACAGTGTTTCTCCAAACTTCACGTCCCCCTGAAGCAGGATCCAAAACTACCAACTTTCGCTCTGAAACAATTCTCACCAGCAGTCAGAAATTATATCCAACGCTACAAAACAACCTCATTATTCTGGACTCTGCTGACTCAGAATTTTTAATTCTGACAGGCTAGGCTAAGTTTACATTTTATATGTTCTGTATTAAGGGTCTTCCCTCTCACCACTAATCTTTGCCGTCGCTGTGGAGGGACTGAGACGATGCCAGCTAAAAGTTCTTTCCATGACTAAGAAAGATAGATTTCTCAATTAAAGACTCTTTCACAATTTAGTTTTTATTAATGAAACGGTCACTAATGATAATAGGCCCAGAAATTCCAGACAACTCAATACATCCCGAAAACACGAATGTTCTCCTACGATCAGCAATGGCTGCTTTCAGTCTACGTTGACTTGATGGCCCATGGGCCCGCTCTCCTCTCCTCAGTGAGCCCACAGGTCTGCAGCAGCAAACACCACACTTACCCGTTAAACAGGGAGAGAAGAGCGGTTTGGGCCCACAAAGTAAACTAAGAAATCCAATTTTTGTTTATTTCAATATCTACACAGAACCTGACTCAACCGTAAAATTACATTGAAGTCCTTCAGATGGCGAATTCAAAGTTTTGCTGCTTACCATATAACACTGTCATTATTAAAATTATTCTGATGACGTGAAGGCGTCCACAACAGCATAAGTTTCTCAAGAGGTAAATAGAGAAATCTAGAAACAACCCTCCTGTTTAAAATTTCTTAGGTATTTTTGCTTTATGTAAAACTTGCTGAGGACTGATGCCTTGGGCCAGGCTCCGGTGTGAAGCCAGGCCTCCAGCTCCCTTGTCCCAGGTGTGCAATCGGTACTCTGGTTTCTCTCAGTCCAACACAGGCTTGTGACCCTGGTGGGCAACTCTCAATCAGCGCCAGGAGCCAGAGCAGCCATGAATACATCAAGGTTAAGGAGAAGGAAACGAGGCTTTCGACTGTGCTCTATTTAATCGTGTGGACACAGTCCCCTAAACAGCTTCTGCGGATGGGTTTTTGCTGTGGTCTGCACGTTTGTGTCTCCCCAAAATTCATGTTGAAACTTAGTGCCCAAAGTGATAGTACTAGGAGATGGGCCTTTGGGAGGTGCTTAGGTCATGAGGTCCGAGCCCTCATGAATGGGATCAGTGCCCTTAAAAAGAGACCCCAGAGAAATTCTTTGTTCCCCCACAACCCAGAAGACATCTCACCAGGATCCGACCATGCTGGCACCCTGTCTGTGGTCTTTTGTTACAGCAGCCCAAGGGACTGAGCCAGCTCCCCTCTCATCTCTCAGTAAACAAAAAAATATGGTTTCAAACACTATGCAAGGGACTGTCTGAATCTTACATCCTGAGGGATCGGTACTCTTAGGACAAGGCCACCACCTGGTTCCTCTGAACTGTACAGGTTCCCCTCATTAAAAAATCTGCCATATGGGAC